GGGGGGGGGGGGAGAATGGAAGAAAATGGAAAACGCTCTAAAAATACTCAATACAGTGCCAGTTACGCTAAGTATATATAATTTTAAAAAAATAATTGAGAATTCCTACGCAGCCATTATAGATATATTCAGCAGTCCCAGTACGAAAAAAAAAATATATTAAGGAAGAACTTGCAAATTTTTTTCTTGTCTTTCTTCGTATCTGATACCAAGCGTCACTAAGTATAATCGTCGTGCACGAGTCCTACGCGTTTAGCCTTTTTTCTCATTCTTTCTCTCTTTATCGGCCACAGGCGAAGCGCTCTGCTGTCCTTCGTGGAAGATTCTCGCCACTTTCTCTCACAGGGATTGTTTTTTGTTAAGATTTACGAGTAGGAATTACCAAGCGCATAAAATGAGTGCAATACACGTGCATATTCATCTTACTCTTTCTCTCACTCTTCCTATCTCTCTCTCTCTCTTTCTCGTTCATTCTCTCAAAACCGGAATCTTATATCAATCTCGGCATCCATCTCTCTATACTCTCTTTCTCTCACGATCCATCCTCTTATACGCGACAGAAAAATATTCTTGAAGTCGTTATTAATTTTTTCTTTTTCTTGCTTCCTGATCCGAATAGTCTTATGTTTAGTTACCATGCAACACTGGCGCAAAAGCTCTTGACGTTTAGAAAAGGAAACGATGACATCTAGTTCGATGCCCTTTATCATTTTTTTTCCCTTGTTCACCTAACATTGATTAGCTTTTCCGTACCGTTGCATTCTGATCTGCCTCCTTGCAGTTGCTGCATATGTAGTCGTCCTCTTCAGCTATTTCTGTCCGATCCAGACCGACGCAGTGCATATGGAACCAACCTTCACAGCCGCCGTCGCACTGAACCCAGTCGACCTCACGACCTTTTATTTGTCATTCAACATAAAAAAGAGAAAACATTTAAAAAACAATTAGATGCTGAACTTTGAATACTGTGAATAAGAGGATCAGGTAATGAATAAAAAAAAAATTGAAGAAAGTACAAAACTTACCGCTTGGTCGTAAACAATTGACAGCTGCACAATCATCTTCCTCGTCGGATGTATCCTGTTTAGTCTTCTTCCTGTTGCCGCCACGTTTCTTGGGGATTTCTTCGCCTTCCTTGCGCTTGAGCTGTAATTGATATAAAAGTCAAATTTTGACCTAGGCGATGTTCTAGATTGATGCACGTAGAACCCATGATACCCTGGTACCTTCCTTCTATACGACTTGAATATTGAATACGTACCTTCCGTGGTCCACGTTTAACTTGACCTGCCGTGGAGACGATCTTCTTGTCCTTGACAAATCCCTTACGCTTCATAAGATTCTTCTCGTCCATCTTCTGTCGACCAAGCTTCTTCAAGAGCTCGAATTCCTCGGACTTACGTTTGCGGCCCCGCTTCTTCACATCTTTCATGTCGTGCTTGAACGTCGCCTGAACTTCCTCGAAGGCTGCATACTTTCGCACACTGCTTGGACTATTTGTGTGGCTCAGGATTCGCCAGATGTGTTGTGTCTCGTCCAATGCGACTTCCAAGAGATCACCCTCCATCATGAGCTCCTCGAGACGCGTTCGAGCGCTTTCAGAGAGAACCACTGCTGCCTCGGAATCCTGTGATTGTGATTTGGGTTGGAATTTGGAAACTGGACAAAAAAACAATTGTTATAGCAATCTCACAACAATATCTGAAATTAAGATATGCTTAGTATCACAACTACCATAGGAATACGCATGCTCGTTACTGTTGAACGTGCTGCAGGTAGGTTCGTCGTCTTCAATAGTGACGACGTCATCATCGTCATCCTGGAAAAGATATTATATTGATGAATTCTTTCTCAAATAATATTATTTTTGTTATACTTACAGCTGTGCTAGGTACACTGTCATCAGAATGAACACCACTGAGGGGTGCAATTGCTTGAATCCTTTGATGTAATTCTGGATTATTAGCGGCCTTTTTAAGCTCACTATTTATGATCTTCTCCGTTTTCTCCCTAGCCGCAGCTTCCACAAGTTTCTGTGAAAGAACGGAGAGCTTCGCCAGGGCAGAGGATAGTTCATCTGTACTGAGCGCTTGTCTAGCACGATCCTGAAACATACAATTTATCAAACATCTCGTCCGCAAGGTATTCTCCATTTAATTCTTCTAGATTTAACGAACCTGCCAGTTCATGGCACGCTCCGTAAGGCACTGCAGAGCTTCGCCTTCGGGTAGACGCACTGGAATCTTCTGCAGGCTCACCAAGAGTGCCAGAATAGTCTCTAGACGTGGCCTCCTGGAGCGCAGGCAGCAGGGACAGAGAAATTTGGTTTCACGCGATGTGGGTATCTTTCCTTTGTACGTGGTCTTAGGAAGAGGCACACAATTTGCTACAATGAACATAAAAATGTCAATCATCAGTGAGGAAGAAAATGTGGAATTAATATAAATAACTACAAGGAATAAACAGTGTACTTACAGTGAAACCAGTCCTTGCACAGTTCGCACTGTAGCATAAGACCGAACCTGGGTCTACGGCAAACGCAATACCGGGAATCCTCCATGTCAGTCTTCATCAAGTTCCTCTCTCTAAGATTCCGCATAGCCTCCATCTCGCGTTGTTCAGCAAGTTTAAATGCGGCGACAACGTTGGCTGAGTCGTTACTGTCGTCGAGCTTTGTGTCACAGACGAAAACGGCGCCGACGGACTCGTCACCCTTGTTTCGTTTTGTCTTCATCGCCTGAACGCCGACGCCGATCCTTGGCGAAAGAGCCTCCATGAGCGTGTAATGAGAATTCTTCCTAAGGAACGTTCTGGCCGTTCTCTCTTTCCACGCCTTCGCCTGAGAGAGAGTAGACTCTAGCAAAGGTAGAGCGTCTAGGTGAAGAGGTATATTCCTACCCCTGCGCACCAAATCGTCCAGCGTATCGTAGTAAGGATAGTTGTCACGCGCCTGTATGTCCTCCACAGTTTTTGTCCAGGTCTTTGCCTTTGTCAATATATCCTGTAGATCGTCCAAGCTAGGCAAATAAGCGTCGATGGAGTCCGCCTCATTGACGAAATCTTCAACAGCTGCTATAGTCTGTCTGTTTTTTGTGTCCAGGTACAACTTCGCCTTCTCTTCCCACTTCTCAATACTCAACATCAACAACTGCAACTTTGATAGAGTGTTTTCAATGCTGAAATGAGGTGGGATGTTCATACCCTTCTCTATGAGTTTAACGAGATCCTCGCGACTTGCTGATTTTGGTTCTTCCTGGATGGACTTAACTTCTTCGAGCCACTGAATCTGTGTTAATCTCTGAGAAAATTACATTTACAGTGTCAATGGTGACACAATAGCAAGCAAATTGTTTATCAAATAAATTTTTGTTTCTTACCTGTTTAAGACGAACCAATTGTGGTAGTTCAATGCAAATGGAATCACCAAAGTCTATGCACTTTTCTAACTTTTCCAGGTCACAGTCATCTTCCTTGGCCTCGAGCTCCTCTGCGTCCTTCTGGAACTGGAGCACTTGATCCAAGATGTATTTAACACCATCAGATTCCTTGAGTTCACAACAGAGATTTGTAATCTCCTTGTAAAACAGGGTCAGCTCTTCGACGGTCAGTTTGTACTTTGTATCCACGGATTGTCTTGTTCTTGTGCGTTGTTTGTTATTTAACAATTGTTGAGCAACACTAGCACACTTTTCAGCATCCTGAACAGCTGTTGTCAGAGCGGTCAGAAGTTCACTGTCAGGAAACTTCTTTGTCTCGGCCTCATTAAGAAGATCTTTGAGTTCATTTAGTTCTATCTTGTCACCCTTGGGATCCATAGCCTCCTTGACTTTGCTCACCCAGGAGTCAAAGGACTCCGCCTTGAGTTTGAGTTTCTGCAGCATGATTGGAAGCTCATCCAATGTGTAACGATAACGTAATGTGTGCTTTTCTGGTAGACAGTCACAAAGTTCTGTGAAGTGCCGCAGACAGACCAGTTGAGAACTGTGACACGAGCAGGTCACTGCACTCAGAAAGCAGGTTGTCTTGCAGGCTTCGCACTGTCTCTCATCGTCTGGCAGAAGCTCAAAGGCTTCTCGTTCAGCCTCTGTTACACCCTGAAGATTTTTAGGTTATGTGTAAGAATTTACTTGACATTTCAATAGACTTTGTTAATCTAGTATTGGTGTACTATTTACTCAATGTTTATGTATATAGGTTATGTCACAAATAACAGAGAGATTATTAATATAATCTAAAATTCTAATTAATTAATCTCATTCTTGCTGCGTACAGTACACTTCACAATCTCAAGAACTTAAGTATCTGTTGCCTAGAAATATTCAAACAACTAATGGGGTATTTAAGTATGTACATTTCATATAATGAAAAAATACACAACTTTTAATATAAATTTACCAGTCCCTAGTAGAGCTGCAAAAATTACAGCATATTTCACTCTGTTTCAGAAACATATGTACACCATCATCACAATACTCAGATATTAATTACACTCCAGAACGAAAATTACGCAAATAAGGCTATAACTATGAATCCACTATGAAACCAAAAACCAATTCCGAAAAATCCAAACATGAGTAATTCAATAGTCCAAAAAGTGACTTATAATAAAATGCACAGAAATACCAAAAATTAAAATATTGACTTCAAACTCTTGTAAAAATTCATTCTATCCCAAACCCGACTTTCCCCAGAATTTGACAATTCACTACCCAGAAAAATCTTTCAAATGCCAGAAGAAAAAAGATCGAACTCAAGACGCGAAGATAATCTGGCAACAGATACAAACTACAGAATTCTCCTACTCAGGCAAATATAGTAGATTCACATCTCCCACTGAAATTTGCGAGCAACGCGTCTCTAAAGTAAACCTCACGAGAGTGGAAGAAAGTAAAATTCTCAAATAAATCATTCCGCGTAGTAGAAGTAACTACGTTCAGGCATCGTGGCAAGTGTAATATGGCTTGAAAAACATAACCTTTACTCACCGAATAGAGTTACATAACAGAGGCCAAAGAGGCATGCTTGACAGACAGTCGAAGGTAGTCAAGGCCGAGTACGAGTGGGTGGCTTTTTTTCGCAAAAAGCACCCTGACCGGAGACGGTAAGTAGGTAAGGATTTAACAAGAACAAAACACGAACGCGGGGACATTAATTGAGAATGTAACGTGGACGGCAGGGCCGTGTTCAGCCGTGTTGTCCAATGGACTGGCAATGCACGAACACACGTGGCGCGTTCTGTATTAGTGCTCTTGTCCATGAAAGCTCCTGGCATGTGGCATACTACTTAGCTCGAAGATATCTGACTCTCTGGCGGCGCGCTATACTGCCTTCGTGCTAACTCATGTCTTCCCGACTTTCAACAAACTGGCGAACCAATGAGTCACTTTATTCCTTCTCCCGACGTCTTACCGCGTGTGGGAGCGCTGATTCTTATTGTTTGCCTCCTTTCCCTAATTTGTCTATCTTTTTAAACTTTGTAGGGAGATTTGATCTAAAACTCTTATTTGGGCAATCTCTTCATGTTCAACAAGTAAATAATGGTGCTCTAACGGTATTTAATAGGGGTTGACCATCCTCAGGATAAAATTGGCTTTAGTTATCCAAGTACAGGGAAAAATATACTGTTAAATCTACATAGCACAGCAAAAATTATTTTTGGTATCTACTACTCGGCTCATGCGTCCTGCTTGCTCTCTGGTAAATGATATATATGTATAATGATATAGAGGGATTTTGTTTGGTGGTGGTGTTAGTGTAACAAAAATTATTTTGTCTGCTAGAAATTCAGCAGCGGATGCATTTTATTGATGGAAGTAGAAAACTTTGAGACTCACCCATTCCAGAAGATTTTTTCGCAGTTTTTTCTCATCTTCTACCATTTGCAGCATGTCGTGATATGTTGCCGTGGCTATACCGATGTCCAGAGAGTCGGGATCCAAGGACATTTTGCACACCAGTTCATCGTGGGAGAATACACAAAAACGTCTGAGATTCGAGTAGTGGCTTATGCAATCTCTGCCAACTTTTAACTGTAAACGATACCAGAAATATCGACGTAAGCGACTATAGTTTGTATAAAATAAAATACAGTTGATGAAACAAGAGTATACTAGAATAATCAATAAATTTAAAACAAATTAACCTACCCAATCAGCAGGTGCGAAGTTGACTGCTTCAGCAAAATTGTACCCTTGATTAAACCCGGCATGATAAGCCCTAGGAAACGTAATGACAAATTCCCCTGCATGTTGATCAGTCCTGAAGACTGGAACCCCTACAATTTTTTTTTCAAAGTAATACAATCAATACATCCCAGCAAATGTATTTCAATCATTATGGTTTTATATATTCTTGAATATTTAACATGTTTACCTTCTCTCATGAGAATGTTGGGATTCATGATAGTGACCAACTGATGAAGAAGATCTGGTTGACTATGAAAGAGTTCCGGTGCGGCAGATTTCATGGAGTGCTCAAAACGCTCCGCCTGAGATCCAGGAACTCCATACCAGGTTTTCGGCTCGCCCCAGTGCAGATAATTAATAGAGTAACTCCAGTGATCTTCGTTGTGCCAACAGAAAGTGGCGAAGCACATCCCCACGTACATCCATGGAACCTTCATCCCACTTATATCTGCGTTTATGTGTCCCAGGACGCTACCGTGTAGCACTGGTAGATTATTCAAATTCCAAGAGGACTCGGCGTATTCTTGGTCGCAAGTGAACAGATTGACGCTAGTTTTCGTAGGGAATCCTGAGCCGTGATCCATTGTATGTAAATCTGCGCCATATTCCACCGTTACATCCTCATCTATGGAGGAGACAATACGCCAAAATTCCTTTTCCACCAGAGGTGTTGGGACCATCTGAAAACCAGTCAAATATTTTTATTAGCATCAGCTTCTGCTATTTGTATAATAGATGACCACTACAGTAAGCTTTGGTCTACTTACATGGACTGGCATATTAAAGTAGTCACTCTTAAACTGATCAGCCATTTCTCCAAACTGTTGCAGAGTGTATTCCCTCTGTGCTTGCTCAAATCCAAAAGCCTCCATAGGTTTGGAAACTTCCTCAGCAACACATTTTGGACACCTCCAGTCGCCTTTCGGTATTTCCGTTAATGGCGGCATCAGGCAGAAGGTGTGGTAACTGTCGTCACAACCGTCGCACAGCAACATGCTCTCCTCGGTGTCGCCCCTTCCGCAATTGTGACAGATATACTTAGCCAACTGAAAACCAAGTGAAAGGGTAACCAATAAGAAATTATGGAACCATGGAAGTGGAAGAATGAGAAAAACCCTCAAGGGATCTTCCTTACTGGATCGAAGTCGTAATTCAGCTTAACGCCCCTCGTCTTATTCGATTTCTTTGGCTCTTTGGTATTGAAGCCAGCCATCTTCGGCCCGGCACCATAAAACTGTAGTTTCTTGAGCTCCTTACTATTATCGTTGTCATCTTGACTCCTATCTTTGTTCCTATCCCTCTCCCTAATGTCTTTGTAATCACCATCGGACTCGCACTCATCTTTACAGTCCTCCAGTTTTATTGGTGATACTGTGGACTCCTGTTTCTCCTCCTGACCTGTAAAGCGCTTCGACCTCCTGGAGAACTTCTCGTTTGGTGGTTTTATTTGTTGTCTTGATATTATACCATGAGGCTTGTAATCCCTGTCCTTCTTCTCATTAGCCTCCGAATCGGGTTCAAATTTCTACACAGAGAAACAGAAATGGATGAAGATGACGTCGAAATGAAGATAGTACGTAGAATAATCTTATCAGCAACATAAAGAAATAATATCATATTGATATAAATCAGCATATCTATTATGGATAAGACAAATAGTAATCAGTTCAAGTTAGCCTGAGCTGTCTATTATCTAGTTTTTTTAAGGCTGATAAGTGAAGTTAATTAATTTAGAAGTGTTTGAAAACTATTATTTGTATTTGTTTGTATACAGTAAAAAGGTGTACTTACAATATCGGTTAATATTTTTCCTTGCTTGAAGACGTCAAATGGATATAGAATTCTTTCGTAATGATTTTTCAAAATACTCCCTACGCTCCTGCCTGATGGGTAACCAAGTTTATTCGCTATCTTGGCCCATCTTCTTTCTTTAGTCACTATTTCAATACCTCCTAGAACAAAAAGTATTTAACAAATAAAAACAAATCAGTTTCAATAAATTCTGGAGATTATTAGTTTGTCTTTTGAACTACAAACCTTCACTTGTAACGATTCTGTGTAAGGAATAAAGATCCAGTGCCTTGCGTTCAACCAATGGAATTTTCAAGGAGGATCCTTGGAGCTCCCAGAACTTAGCAATTTGATCTAGAAAATTTAACTTAATCCTAGTCTTGGCTTCTAATTCGTTTAACCTCTGAATTCGAGGAACGAATTTAAATTTGTCCACATCTACTGCAAAGGGTGGTTGCCAATTCTGAAACAAAAAATGTGTTCATGGTTAAATAAAGTTTTCGATGCTTTCAAAGAGATCTCTTTGTATTTAAATCTCTAGTAGATAGAGGGTGGAAAAAACTTTACAATTCAGTCTCACATTAAAAAAAAACGCAAAAATGAGTACCAAGGAGCTAAGGAGAAACTATTAAAGAAATTGGACAATTAAATGATCAATCTTCTAGAGCCTAATGTACCTTTACGTACTTAAATAGTGTTTTAATGTAACATCTGTGCTTAGATTGTGTCAAAGCAACATAGCAGGGCTACTACAGTGTATTGTATAATTGCCATCGTGTTAGGTAAATTAGGTCAGTGGAATAATCGTCAAGATAATGAACAGGAATGCTTAGATTTGCAATAATGGCATGGAGTGCTAACACATTATACACAGAAGGGTGACTGATGATACTTGCTAAATTAGCAAAATTCCATAGGACTTAACAAACTAGCACTATTGAAAAACAGAAGTAACAGTAGGAAGAAGGCTGTTAAATATTATCGAGCTATCATTTTCATGTGAGGCATTTATTTATACCTGGAGAGTTATCCATCCTACCCTAAAACTTGTGTAATCAATAATAGCGTCATTGACAAGTGATTTGCAGCTATATACAATACTACGGCCCTAATATAGAAAACCTTCAGAAAAATTAGAAAAGATGATTCCAGACTCAATCAAAAATATTTTCCACAGCACATAACAATGCAAAAATGAAAAGGTAAAATGTACTATTTAAATTTTCACTAGGTTCACCCTATTCGCTGCGACAGACGTCGCCGTCTGGGAGTTGAAAAAGATATAGACTAGCGTTTACATAAAAATGCATGCAGCAGTACTATTCGATCGTGTCTTTTTCTATGGGCGCAGGAGAACTTCACGATGGCCAAGGGAGAAAATTGAATGGTAAAATTATCGATCGCAATGCCGTGGGAAACGTATGCAATTGACCATCCATCCTACCACTGAAACGATGAAAAATTCTTTCAAAATAAAAGATAGACAGTTATTCGTGCAATGGCGCCCTGTACGTTATAAAACTGTTAGCTCCTTTACTGTGCATATACTATATATTTTCCTCGGAGAGAAATGACATCAAACAAGCACTTTTATCGACTGTCAACTAACAATTTCCGGAGGGTCCAGAAAAGAAGAGCAAAAATCTCAAAGACAACAAATCCTGAATAATTAAATCTTTTGAACTACGAAAAAAAAAAGATTAATATAGGACGCTTCATTTTTCGTCAAAATAGCAGCAGCGGCATTAATTCCTACAGGAAGAGACTATGGGTCGTTGTTTTCTCGCGAAAACAAAATGGACAGACGCGTACGTTGCGCTTATAAATGGAGTCAACCGAAGTCCTTTCTACGAGAGTTCGCTCAAATAGAAATGCATGAAACATAATAATTTTTATATATTACCGAAGAAATACCCACCACAAATCTACACAATTCTTAGTCATTTTCAATTCCGAAGATCTCGAAGACTGTGTATTCTTAGGAAAAAGAGGAGAAAGAAAAAAGAAAATTAGATAAGAGAAATTACGCAAGAGATATTAGCAGTGAACTGTCACTTGATACTTGCAATGGCAGGTGAGGTTCTAGTGACTCGAATTACGAAGAGACTCCAGTCCTTGGATTTTAATTGATCAAAATAAGATGGCCGCTTGAACGAGAATTCTAGTCTAATTGTAAGTAGAATTGCAAAAATATCCCCTCGAGTTAGCATTACGTGCAAAATGACATCTTTATTTGTTTTATTGACTTTAATTGGATGAAGATATCATGTAATGCTATCTTACTCTCTTACAACTTTTAATAGAGAATTAAAAGCACAGTGCACATGGGCGGATTTCACAGGAAGAATTAAATACTGACTGAATAAAAATAAAGGCACTGATTTTATAAAGTTGTATAGGTCCACTGTACTCGAAACACTAGCATTATTATTAAAGCATTGTTTCCTGCTGGTGTAATATTATTACGGCCATTTTAATTTCATTGCCAGTAAGAGACACAATTTTCCAGAATTTCATACGACATCGTGTAAAAGAGTTTGTGATATACAAAAGCATTTCATCACTAAATAGGTCATTAATAATGAACTTAAGATTCCCATGGTGTTTCGGTAAGTAGAATGGGTTTGTAAAAGTAAAAAAAAAAAGTGAAAAAAAAAAGTAAAAACCTTTTTCTAAAAAGAGAAAAAGCCTTTCACACGTTTTATCGCTGACTAAGAAGTGGCCATTGTTACGTGTCGATGACGAGAACTGATCAATGTCTGTCACTTTATTATAGTATATATGTACATTTGTTCTTTTTCACTTTCTGATTATCCACCTCGTTTTCCTGTCTAGTTTAGAAAACAAAATAACTGACCCATAAATATCGGGATGACGCCACTAGGTAATCGAATATAATGCTGTAATGGCGATGGAAACAAAAAAAAAGCGACAAGGCGGATCCCATGAGTTTTCATTAGATGATGCAAACGCGTACAACTAAGGAACTATTTTCGTTTACTCGCTACGTCTACAGAAAGGGAAAAATATATAAGCATATCTCTCCTTTTCTCTTCCACTTACAGTATATCTGGCATTTAGAATATTACATGCTTTCCCCTTCAAATGGGAACATCTAACACGTCCATTGAAGGAAGACGGAAAAGTCCGCAACACGCCATTTCCACAGAGTCGAGAATCAAAAACCCGTTAGCCGGTGGGCGAACAGAACAGAAAATACAAGAAATGCCAAAGCACATTTTGCGAAGATTCAACGATCACTTGCCAATTCGTGAATCGACGACGAGCCAAAGAAAATTCGCTATTCGAATCCCCTAGACGCCAGAAGTAATGCAAAATGGTATACTAACAGTGTCGCGAAGAGAGAGCAATAGTTAGCAAAAAAACTCTAACGAATATGCCTTCCGGATCGTTAAAGTATCCCTTCCCATTCGGTTAGAAAATCTCGGAAATCATTGTAATTTCTGTGAAGAAAAGAAAGGACAGAATAATATCCACTTTCAAAATTTATGTTGGCCCTGGACAAAAATCTGCTCTACAGAAAAAAAAACAATAAAAAGAAACACGGGAGAACTTTTCAGAAGAAAAATATTAAGACTTTTTCAGGAAGCGTCACAGGTCGTGAGTTCATGCCAGGATAGTGCAGTGCACTAATGGCGTTCACTAGGTTTTCCAATCCTCCCTATTGGAGAGAATAAATATATTCAATAGACATAGAATGCCGTAAAGACATAATCAGAGCACGCTGTGATCAATCGAACGGGAAAGGCGGAGGGAAGGAAGGAAGATTCCTATAAATGTCGTACAGAGAGTGTTAACACATATGCATAAAAAAGTGTATAGGGCCAACAGTAGCAGCAGCAGCAGCAGGGAATAGGAACTCACGGGTGGCGGCTTGATCTTGCAGATACCGGATTTCTCAGCATGCTGTCGTATCTTGGCTATATATCCAAGTGGATCCAGGAACTCCTCAGCGGAGGGTTCGAATACTGGAGCCTCCGGTGGAATGACAAACTCGAAATCCGATTCACTCCTGTCGCCCATGTCTTTGGCTCGCTGATGGCTCCCTAGACGAGGCTCGGTACCGATATTTACGTCGAGCTTCGAGACCATGGCTCCCCGGCTGCTTTGCCCAGGAGGAAGTTGTATGTCCGCTGCAGGAGGTTAACGAGCGTTGTCTGATGCACTGAATACACTACTCTGGTACGTGAGATTGGTGCAACTCATCGAGGAGCGTTCCTGGCGCAGCCATGACTACGAACACCGTGTGTGTATTTATTCGTCGCTGACAATGAAACACAGATGCTTTTTAATGCGGCCACCACGCTACCTCATCCGTCACGTAGCCTCGCGCACGGGCAACTGTCCTGCTTAATGCCTTACCCCTACTCTTTCTCCCTCTATTGGATTTTTTGGGCCCTGTTTGATCGACCTGACACCTCGTCGAGATTCCCCAAAGCATTTGCCTTTTACAAAACTGCGGCGGTACTTATCGGCCGAAATTTGAAGAAGTCCTTTCGTTCTTTCTTTCTTTACATATTCTTACCTCTATTGATGATTAACAGATATGGTTGAATTTTAAGATTTGCATATTTGTCTTCTCGAGAGAATTTGCATAAACAAGATTTTCTTACAGGGATTGGAATTTGCGTGAATTTATTATTAATCTCTGGGGAATATAGACATTACCGACTAAGATTTTCGTACTAGTATATAATGCTTGAATTGCATTATTTGGTATGGAAATTATATTTTATTTTATGTTTTTCGTGGATTTGGCGTATAAGTTCTAATTATTGCGAATTCTTTTTTTAAGAACTTGTATATATGCATTAAGGTTTCAGTTTCTAGTAATTATTTCTTTATAGAAATGTTCACTGGTAGCACTGTAATCTTACGACATATTGGTAACTCTGCTGAATGTGTGCAGTTTGCCTTCTGCTTTTACGTCGTTGCTGAAAGAAGTAAGTATTTCTTGTTTAATTACGTAATTATTAACCCTATAACATGTACTTTTTTAGTTTAAATATGTTTAAATTTAGATATAACCTTGAACATTCTTACATTGTCATTATCTAATTCATAAAACTTTCAAAGAATATATTCGCAAAAAAATAATAGCTCATTAAACTTGTCTCTAATTCAATGACATCGTTATCAGATTCATTACTTGACATTATCGATTATTAATAAAAGCACTTTTATTTTTACAGAGAGCAATAATCATGGGTAAACACTTTGGAGAGCTCGCCAAGATCAGTGGCATTGTCACGTTTCGTCTCAGTCCACATGAACAAAAAGCTTTTGCTGGAATGATTAGCCATGGTATCCCTAACATGTTCAGAAGGTTTAGTGAGAATGTATTTCGTGTAACTCCACGTGGGTATTTTTGAATTAAAACATATTTCTGAAAACTGTCACACCAAAACTAATATTCTTTTCTTACAGCCTTTATTGTTAGTTACTTGTGGTATGACTGGGCAAAAAAGGATCATGAGAAACAGACTCGAAAGAATCCCAAAAATTATGAAAATGATGTATAAATCATCCCTTGTAATAAAACATTAGTACGATTTTGTTGTAAGTTTACAATATGTCTCAACAGTATGGAGGAAAATGACAGTAATGTAAAATAATCTACTGTATGAGTATACTTTTTCTGTCATGTAAATCTCTATCTCAGTAATAAATTTATCCCTACAAAACTAAAACTTATTTTGTATCAATATGAAAATCCTAAATCACTTGTATATGACATTTGATTGCTGCTGCTAATGGTAATGAAATGTTTAACTACAATTATACAAACAAAAAATATGGTTGTAATAGATGCTGCATACTCAAATGAAGCAGAGTAATACTTATTCAATTTTTTCTTTTTAAACTCCACATTCATTGCTCTTTTTCTCTGACTATGAACATAGTAAGTCCTTAAAATTTCATAAGTTCTGTTACGCAAATCTATCAATGCCTATGAGTTTCTCTCAGTGGTTCTCAGATAGTGAAATCAAAAACTTAGGTAGGCGTAATTTCTGCACGTTCACGCGTTATGTTAAATATCCCGCCAACATAAAATCCAACGAGTTATGGTTAACAGGTGTTTCTTACCTAAGGAATCAGAAGAAAATTCATCAATCTCTTTGGTATGTAACAACTTCAACGATTGGTCGAAGATACTAGACTTCGTGTATCTCCGTAAGTTCGCATCAAAGAAAACGTATACTTCAAATTCTACAGTTTAAAAATCGAGAAATAAAACTAAAATATTCCACCCAGTCGTAAGTGACAAAAAACCATAATAAAAAAATTAAAATTACTTTTCATTTAATTTAACACAATTTTGAATAATGATCATAAACAAAGTATATACAATTAAATTTCCTGTACTGCAAAATATTATTATCAGTGACGTCAACGTTCCAGGAATCAAAATCAAACCTATGAATATACAAATGATCCCAGGACAATATTTCCTATTATAATATACCCGTTAATAAATTTTGGAACACCGATATTGAAATTTGTTTTAAGGCCTCAAATAATTACACCAATATATACGTCCCTGGGACCGAGCGACAGTCCCCGATTCCGTTGGGCCCAAACCGTGAACTCGAGACGTCCAATGAGAAAGTCCGTATTAAAAATCCAGGTACAGCGGACAGGTAAGCTGATGGGAAAGGGCCTGAAGTGCAGTAGTCAGGTATTTCCAGTCGATGATGAGCAGGTTCCTAGGTCCACCGAAAACCGGGTCGCCTTGTCTCTCCTTGTAAATAGGTAAGTCCCGACGGTGGTGACATTAGTGAAGTTACCTGAGGGATAAACGGGATCCCTACTGTGAGTGTATATACAGTGTACGTGTAGGATCCATGTTGATCTTCAATAACGTATCGCGAGGATCCTGCTAAGATTTATAAGAGCCCACGCCCGGGATAGATCAGCGAATATTTCTCTTTAACGTAAGAAGCGTTCTGGGATCTTCCTGTCAAAAAGGTATTTATGCCAGTGATTTCTAGTGGGATCACTGTGACGTCTCATTCAAAATGACAAAAACATTTTTAGATAAGTCCTCCCATCCCGAAGATACTGAACCTCGTCTCTCTGGAACCTGTCAGTCGCAATCAGAAACGTATGGCTGAAATGAATCGTCCTTATTAAAGGATTTCACTCGCTGTAGGACAATACAAAACAATTCTATAAGTCTCTTATCAATTACTTATTTGTACTGAATTTTCTTGCTCTATTAGAAAAATTTGTTATCGTCCCTCGCATTTGTTTTGTCACGCAGAATAACGTGTTTTCACGCTTTTATCATCGTACGCTGATGATATTTTCTATAACGCCGTAGAATGTAGCGCTTGGTCAATATTATTTTCATGCTCCATTATTCTTCTTCTCTTTTTTTAGCTTCTATTCAATTTCTATAAGTGATCATTTTTTTCTGTTCAATCAATTTGGAATTTCATTTAACTCAAGAAACAAGCCAAGCGTGATTTACCGTTCAAGTGCATCAGAGTTAGGAAGAATGTGAATGTTTACCAAGACCCTGGAATCAGAGAGACGGATGTGCTCTTTAAATTTCACAATTACGAAGCTCATACATTATTTTCATCCAAAGAGACAATCAATTACATAGTTTCATAAAAAAACTATGAAATAAATCTCAGTTGCGTTCACTACCGTTTCAAAATCTGATTTTATCATTCGATTAACCTAACAGTCATGAGTGAAAATTATATTTCCTTTAAATCTTTTGATATTTCAAAAGAAATACTACATATTTATCATCCATAAAATTTAATCAACAGTGCACTCAAAAGATCGCAACTTATTGGAGAAATTGTCGTTGTAAGAAAGACACTAAAGAAAAAATTTCTTTTTAACTTTTTTCGTTTATTTTAATAATGACTAACTCGCGCGCCATCCAACATTATTAATCAGTGGATATGATGTGTAATCTCTAATCTCATCTGAATTGACGACGTATTTATATAGATACCTGGTTTCTTCCTCCCAAAGGCTGTCTTCATATTTCTCTCTCTCGCTCTCTATTTCTCTCTGTATATACCATTGCAAACATTCGTGACATAGATCGTCATGATAAATGCCCAATCGCAAAGTTTAATCGGTACAATGGAAATTTATCAGCCACTGGAATTCTTCCTCGGTGGACACTAACTTAACCATTGATGCGTATATTATTAAACTTTCATGAAATTCACCTCACATTATTCGGAGGACAGTGAAATATCGATCCACCAAATATAATGATATAAACGTAAATATATATAACGGCTTGCCAATGTTTCTGAGTGTTTTCTTTTTTGATGTTCGATTGGCTAAGTGCTGAAGGATCGTCATGAGCCTCGTCAGTGGACATTCCGATGTGAATTCTTCTCAGGGCGTGTCCCACGTCATCTTCGTCCCCTCTGACAAAAACGATATACACCAAGTGGAGAAAATTTATTTGTAGAAAGTCGAATGCGCCAACAGGGCCAAAAGAATTCATTAATTATCCTATCATATGAATTCGATTGATTAAGTATATACTATATAGTATCCATCGGACAAATTCCAAAGATCTCTCAAGGACATCAGTCATTCTTCGATTGGTCTAAATAGCACAGTACACACTATGATGTTTCAGAAAAATTATCTCAACTATGCACCAAAGCATGTACCGCTGTTAAGGAATCAATAGAAAATAATTGTCAAGATCATTTGGGTCGGTATTAATCTGACTGGATAACTAAATTATCTATCTAGTATGAACGACCAATAAATCAAGCAGCTAATATCTACTTGATGTCCAAGTACGTTCGAGGTAACAGATCTGTTACTCCACGTCTCGTAAGATATATTACCATTTTTATATTCCCATTTTTTTCTTCATATACTCTGTCCTTTACCAGCGGGCGTGTCTGCATCCATAAATAATTAATCCGCCAGCACACGGATACACGGCAATGCAAACGTGCGTAGCCGGCACGTGGGATATAAAAGAATAGAATCTCTTCTTTGACGTAGATAAAATTAAAAAAAGATAAAGGGAATTCTTCATCATTTCAAAATCATCAAGGATCTTGGCAAGTTCGTAATCACTGAGAATTCAACACGTAGACGAATCAATGGGAATAAAATAATTTTTTCATGCTCTCGACGATTCAAAGGACCCGGGGCGACCGTTAATCGCCGCATGGAAGCGAGACGTTATAAAAAAAAATGAAAGATAGGAAGAAAGTGGCAATATTAAATTACAGGAAGTCATTCAACAGGGGCTTCGATATATTGCTGGATGTATACACGACTCCTACTGTACAGCCTCAGGATTTTACAGTTACCTACGTATTTACGGTTTATTCGCACCGGGTCTCAACCACCTGGAATTTTCCCCCTTAGGCGCCATTTTGTTACCTTCTCACATAAATTCTCTCGTTATTACAACCTGAAAATTCAACCACACTGACTCTACTTTATCGACATTTTTTCACAAGGGTCTCCCATCCTTAGAAAATCAATGGTAATTCCTTTATGGTGTCCCTTAACAGGTAAAGTAGAGTTATACCTGCATCTTTATTCCCATGCGAATTCTAGCACGTTCAGGTTGGAATTCAAAGAATTCCAGGTAGAAATATATGTTACAGAGCGCGTTAACTCGGCTGCACAAGCAACCTACACAGCCTACTCTCATTACGTGCCTTCCCTTTTCACCGGCTCTCTATCTACGCCTATATACATATTTTCACTATACCAGCAACTATAGTACTAGCTGATCCTCTAACTGTATACACTCTAGACTATAGTATTCATTATAGAGCCGCATAGTTTCTGACTATTTTCTATACAGTAGACTCTGGTATTTACCAGGCGGCTTTAATACTCAAGAACGCGTAATGATTCTGGACAACATGAACAGCGCAAGGTGCCGTTTTCATTTTTCTGTCTTTCGTTCTTCGACTCGGAATTTTTTTTAACAAAAAAACTTAAAATTCCACGACAAAGTTATCCATTCACGTATACTTGTGGGTTTTTTTTTTTTTTTTTTTATAAAAATTATCAGACTGCCTTAATATCCCCGAAAGCCTCTATTGGACTACGCATAAGTTATCGCGACTTTTTTTCTCCGTATTTGCCAAATGATTCACAGTACATCATTGTTTCGTTGGCTTGTTTCCCACGTGAGGATATAATGCTATACGTCAGGGCCGCATCCCACCACGGTCGTCTAAGAATTTTATTATCGTGATATCGATAAGATATATTCTCTGCGTGATGGATGAAAATTATTGACAATGAGATTTCGAGTATTATGTTTTAATTGGTGCTTTGCTATTTTTGATGGATATGCGTCATTTTATTTTTTTTGAAGAACAATTTAACATTTTTCTTCGTATACCTCAGGGCGCTCGGACATTAGTCTTATGTCATGAAAAATCATACAACAATTATTTTCAATCTTATCCTGTTAGGGACGTGTGGTAATGCTGAGAAAATATTTCTTATCACCTATATCTATATGGAATTACATGTATGTCTCTGATTAATCAATAAGGATTCAGTTTGACATCGTGGTTTAAAGTTTTGGCTGTTTGACCATTTAACGAGTTGGGAATAAATTCGGTTGTAACGAGGTAATAACGAGTACACGAATACAATTTTCTCTTTACCGTTAGGGGCCACGATGCATATAAGAAATCCGCAGTAATACCGTTCGGCCATTCTTCCTTGTACTCTTATTAATTGCAATTATGCTGAGCATTTAATAACACTTAAAAAAATTCTTTAATCTATTTTTATCAAGCACTAATGTCCAACGACAGTACAGAAGTAAGATGTACCAAGTATTGTTACATTACAAATATTATTTATCAGACGCTGATATCGCTTGTAGAATTCCAGAGTATTGGGGAAAAAAGAAAATTTATAGATAACACACAATTGTTAGATTTTTCATAATAACAATATTATCTGGTGTCCAAGCCTACACGGTGTCAAAGCGTGTCAGTCTAATTTTGTGAATGTCGAATTAGGCTGTCAAGAAATTTCATGCGCTCCTGTAGTGCGCCATCACGATTGGCTTTCATGAGGACCATTTATGGGAATGCCAAGTACGTTGGCGGAAGTGATTTTTTTTTATGGTCGCGCGATGCATCGTCAATTAATTATGTTGTTCTGTGGTTTGCTAGAGACATAGTTTTAGGATGCACATTTATTTTGATCTGTCTCTTTTTTTGTTTTTGTAGTTCTCAAACAAAGTGCATGATGCCATACTACAACAGTGGTCATGGATCTTCTTACAATAAAGGTCAGTGGGCTTTAATTAATTGTGTGCCATAAAATTAATTGAGACTAATTGGATCTTTTAATGAGTAATCTTTTTCATACGTTTTAGATGGCGGATCCAGCGGACCACCAAGCACTTCCGGTGGTGGGCCACCGGGATCCGAGCCTACTTATATGATGGAACACTTGGCTACTTTTACTGTGACAAAAGAAACTGGTATAGTTTATCCAGCTGATGGGATGCGACGTTTGCTACAGCTGGAGAAAAGCAATGGCATCTGGAGTCAGAAGATGCAATTGAGATTGGAAAGAAATTGGGTTCTTATTATGGACAACGAAACAGGAGTAAGTGTCGATGTCAGGCTGGATCGAGTTGGCTGGATTAATTTTATATGGAAGATGTTTAATTGACGTTGTATTGTTTGCTTTAGGCGGTCATGGAAAGATTCCCAGCTTCTTTGATCCAGGAGCCCACAGCCTTCACTTCAAGGGATCCCATGGAAATGTACAATAATATTCTTGTCTTCACTGTGGCCGATGATAGCTCATCCGGTCAGAGAGCTGAGATGCACATATTTCAGTGTCAGAGTGTCTCAGCGCAGGACCTTGTGGAGGACCTCAAGATGCTGCAGATAGGTAAACTAGTTCCTGGAGGAGGATCACCGCGTGGTCCGAGAGGACAGATACCACCGCCTCCAGCGCTACCACCGCCAGAGCCACCTTTGAATGGTGTCAACGTCCGGGAACAAGTGTCTGCCTTTAATGCAGCAAATAGTAAGAATCCTAGTGGCAACAAAATATTCGTACAAGTCAAAAGCGCACCTCGATCATCCCCAGGGAGACGGTACCCTGGTGTTAAAATAACGATCTTTTGTATTCTGCGTTATTGTCTTAGAATAGTGTTTAGCATGATTTTCTTATAGCCGACGGTCGTGCAGACTTGTCCAGGGACGAGAACAACGACGAGGTCAGCTCTACGTCCTCGGAAAAGTACGAGAGAGACGTGACCATCCTGAATCACTGCTTCGACGACATAGAGAAGTTCATAGCACGTCTGCAGCACGCAGCAGCGGCGTCCCGGGAACTGGAGCGACGTCGAAGGAATCGCAAGTCCAAGAAGCGTAATCTCGGTGACGGGATGCTGACGATGCGAGCCAAACCGCCACCGGAAATGGAGTTCATTGATATATTTCAAAAATTCAAACTCTCCTTTAATCTCTTGGCCAAGCTCAAAGCTCACATTCACGATCCCAACGCGCCGGAACTGGTCCACTTCCTGTTCACACCTCTGGCCCTTATCGTAGATGCTTCCCATGATACCAATTATGACCCCAATCTCCCAAGCAAGGTCGTCTCGCCACTGTTAACCCGAGAAGCAGTTAACCTGTTAATAAACTGTGTAACCAGTAAGGAGACGGAGCTCTGGCATTCACTAGGAGATACCTGGCTGATACCTCGAGATCAATGGAAGGGTCACGTGCCACCTTATCATCCCATATTCATGGATGGCTGGTCACCAGAGTATCCAATACCGGAAGAGAGGGACCACGATCATCTGGCGTCCCTCCTGAATGCTGACAAACAGAAACGTGATGAGCATCTACCGGAGCAGCAGCCGGATCCTTACTACAATCATCGTGAGGTGGACGAGTCCCACTATAGTAGCGACTATCTGGAGTATGAGAGCCGCGAGGAGCGTGGAGGTAACGATTACTTCGACAGGAATTACGGACCCGGTTCCTCCGAGATTTATTCTCGTGAGGATAGAGAGAGGGTCGTAGAGCAGAGCCGTGCACACAGCGATATATCTGTGGATTCTATAGAGAGAGGAGGTGGTGGAGGTGGTGGTGGTGGAGGCCCCAGAGGAGGAGGTCAGGGAATGGAAAGGGCCCAGGAAGCATGGCTGGACGATCTACTTGCTAGACACGCCAAGGTCGTTCAGGTCACTTATCCCAGGACTGCCAATAACGACAAGGAACTCACTGTGGTCCGTGGCGAGTTCCTCGAGATTTTGGATGACACCAGAAAATGGTGGAAGGCCAGGAACTCCAGGGGCCAGGTCGCTCACGTTCCACACACCATCGTCACCCCACACACTGGACAGCATCCTGCCGATAATGATGTCTTTAACAATCCTCTTTACACCAGTCGATACCAGAGACAGGGTCACGGATACAATTATGAGGTGAGAATCTTAAGGAATTTTTTTTACTTTCTACCATACAACTCCACCTGCTGATAGTAGTCGCTAAACCAATGAGACTCCTGGACCTGCAATTCTATTCTGAGTATAGATAACAATGAGCTTTCCTCTTAGAATGGTCCTATTATTACACTGGAATTTCCTAGGCGTGGTCCAGCGTTTCTATGGCCCATAAAATTATAGCACATTAAAAAAATATTTTACTAACGTCATTATTCTCTTGCTGATTAGTTTGACCTGAATAAAAATATATTTTCTCTTGTAGGACTCGGAAGTCGAGGGTGCCAATACTAGTCCTGGACCGGAAGCAGCGCACAGACCTCACGCTATTCCACCTCCAGCACCTGCTGATTGGGTGCGAAAGGAGCGTCTCGGTAAAAAAGGTGAATTCCGATATTTCTAAGGGAAGATTTTCGGGATGGCATCCACCATTTTTCAAGTAACTGGAAAGTCTTGAAAGGGTCGTATTGAGAGAGAATAATTTTCACGCCATTTGGAAAGTACATGCACGCCGTTTTCAATTCTCGAAGAGCCAAGAGAATTCGAACAATAGTGCAGAAAGAGGATATTCTTTCTTTCTCTTTAACAAAAAACATTTCTGACATGCTCCAGGTCGAAAGAAAGGGATCAGAATCTTATTTTATTTTTTATCTTTTCTTGTCTTCACAGCGACAAGAATTTTGCTGTTGCTCGTTACGCAAATTAAATTTTTATTAATGTTTTATCTGTATATAAGAAGATACGCGCTAACATCGTCTAGACTGAATAATTAGTATTTACTGTTAGTGTCAGCAGTACAGGGTGTTCCAGTTTATATAATTTTTTCCCCTAAAATTCTCTCATATATTCTTCCTTCCTTACGTTTTTCTAATAGCTGAAAAATTGTAGCTTTTTTTTCTATGCAACAATGATTCTCGTTCTTATAACAAACTTACACAGACTTAGTCTTAATTCTTACCTTTTCTATAAAAAAAAAAAAACAACAAAGTGCCTTAACTGTGGAACACCCTGTAGAATCTCACCGGGTACAAAATATCGTTAAAAAGAATTTAGCGAGGATTTTATTGACCGGCCAGCGATTATTTTTCAATTCTCTTTTCCTTTCCTTTCTCCTCTGTCACTGGCTACTTCCTTTTTTCTCTTCCTGTTCTCCCTCTAAGATAAATAAGAACCGAGTTAATCGTCATTAAACGTCTCATATTTATCAACTAACCAAATCCTAGAGTATACCGATTATAGAGATAGATTTATATATATAGTTTTATATATATTTCTAACAAACCTGAAGAAAAAGAAAAAGGAAAATAGCACGAGGATACCAGTTTCATAATTGGGAATTTAAAGAGGATGCTCACCTGTGTCCGGATCTTCGTACATTTAAGATAAATTTAAATAATACTACTACACGCAGCATCACAATGGACGTCCAGTTACTGAAAAAGTAATACTCGAATTTAGATATTTACAAGTTCTTGGCACAGGAGCATCGTGAGGGGAATTGATTTTTGATTTTTACAAAATGATAAAAGTACACCATAACATCCCTCATTTCTTTCTTCATAGCAATAATTATTCATCTGTCTATTGTCTATACTCATCTGTTGTATTTTTTTATTTTTTACCGTAGACTGTACTATACTATATATGGGGGTCTCTGTTCTGTGTGGCATTCCGTATTTATATACGCGTGTAAAATTTGGTCTGTGTATTTTTTTTCTCAGCCACTCATTGTTTCCCATGGTTCTTATACGCCTTTACAACATTTTTTCAGACACCTGTGACGTCCATCGATTTTCTTTCTTGTGACAATTTACGATATGCGCCTGGACCAATGATGAAAATAAAAAAGGTCATGAGTCTTCCCCCTTCAAAGAACCACCATAGGATCTCTCAAGTTAATTTATGTATTCGCAAGAGTAATTCACATACGCATAGAAACACATGCAGTCATTATAGCAGACAGCTTCTTCGTGTACCTGTACAGATTATTATTATTATTATTGAGGTGACTCATGACCTTTTTGCTAATTGGCCCGTGGCGATTCGTGCAATCTTAATTTTACCTTTTATCAACGTGTGTTGGGGGAGTGAGGGGAGGGCATAAGGATGCGATCCGTCCAGTATTTACTGTATGTAATTAATGTAAATCTCTAATTAATAAATGCAATTACACGTATCACGTCTCTCTATCGTCTTGTCCTTGTCTATAGCGGGAAAGCAGAGTGGGGGAAGAAATGAAAAAAAAAAAGTTTAAGTGAAAAACATGTCTGTGTTATCCAAGTTCACCCACATGCATCCAATAATATTGCAACAATCATCAGATAATTAATTATGTTCTTTTGCATTGTCCCGATTTTGCTTGTGAACAAAAAACCGCAAACACACAAACACACGTACACGTACATACGCGAAGCATCCTGTCTGCCGGTTTTGAAAATTTTGTTGCCGCTTCTGGTCAGAAGGAATTCGTACATTATGAGGCGTAATCAATTTGAGCTCTACGATGATCCTCGTCAGGATAACAATCTCTACTTCTACTGTGAGTATTCGACGGCGGGATTTTATTACGCATGGGTGATGGCAGCATTTTTGAAACTGAAATTGATAATTCAAAGGAAAATAATTTTTAAGAGAGTTTGGCTTTGCTTCGCTTACTTGTGGATACGTGATGGGAATTTTTATTATGGAAATGAACAAGCTGTATTCTTCGAAATACTATTAGGCTGTTCCATCCATTTAAAAATCTAGTAAATATTTGAATCTTATGTCGAAAATACCAATAATGCAACGACATTTTTTTAGGCGATTCTAGCATCTCCAGCGAGACGAATAGCGACGACTTTCCTTATTCCATGACAGAGAGTCCACGTTCCAGCAAGACCCAAGAGTACGTGAACAGTAGTACCGGAAGCTCCAGTAGTCCAAGTACCAATTCGAATTCTAAGTCAGAACGTAAATCGAAACATGCACCTGCACCACCACCGCCACCGCCACCACCACCACCACCTCCGCTACCAATGTCGGGGACACAGAATAGTTCACCAGGAAGTAGCAAGACGGGAACCACCAAGAGCAACAAGTCTCACGGAGGCGGTGAGAATACACAAAAAATTTTCCTTGACGATTGAAGAATTTTTGTATTTTAATTTTTGTCTCATAGGTATGAACAGTCAAGATCAAATGCAAGAGGAGCTTAAATACGTTTTGACTATGTTTCGTGAGAAGAAAAGAAATTTGGATATAGTGAAAACACCAGACGTTTACATAGATCAGCATTCGAGTCCTCATGAAGTCCAAAATTGGCTTAAAGCCAAAAGTTTCACTGAGAGGTATATGAAAACTAAGAACAAGGTATCTCCTGGTATTTTTTGGCTAACTGATATTTGAAATGTTCACTGTATTTTACAGAGTCTGCAAACAGCTGAGAGGTATGACTGGTTCAGAACTATTTAGTCTGACAAAAAGACAACTGGAACATTATTGTGGTATGACAGAAGGTAGACGATTGGATGGTCAAATAACATTATCAAGAAATGTAACAGGGGTATGTATGAAAATATAGTAACACAGTATCATATAATACACAATAATATGATAATGACTTTGCAGTATAAAACCACACGGTCTTCTGAATTGAAACAAATTCTGGAAAAGGCAAGGCAAAAGGCAGAAAAGGAAAGCGATGACAATATTTTAGATCCCTAAACTGGAATCGCATAGGTAAAGACAGAAAAGAAATCATGTTCCACAAAGCTGCGCAACAAACAAACACAATTTGCAGATATACAGAATGCAAAGAAACAAATTGAGAATGAGATTATATCGAGTTCAAGAATATTACTCTAATTTACCAGTGAATTAACATAGAAGAATAAACAAGTTAGGATAATGTATATCTAATGTGAACGAAGAACTTGTATCCCAATTAATTATGTTTTCAATATTTTCTCTGTCATTCTTCTTGTATTATATTTATTTAAAGCAACCACATACATCGTAACAGATATGCCCTAGCTATATCATGGTATATCGATCAACTGTGCATTTCATCCTTTCACATTAATATTATTATATCGGCTCGAGGAGAGACATGAACACATCGATAATCGCACTGGGTTCAGTCGGTAGAAGAAAAATAAGAAATATAAATGAACAACAAAATTTCGAAATTCAATATGTTTCCACAACAGCGATTTGTTACTGCCATTCGAAAAAGTTAAAGAAAAGTACAATTATGACAGACTGCAAAATACATATTACTTATCAGGTGAAACTTGAAATGTTAAATTATTTCAAAGATACTTTCAAGTGAGCATACAAATTTGATTCGTACATTCAATTCGAGTCTTTGACATTCAGTATTCTTTCAAATTCCTACGACTATATCATATATGTGAGTCCTTTTCAGGCACCTTGTATAATAATACTTCTCTTAGACCAATCCGCAAATATATGTAGTAAGACTATACCAGTTATATGATGAATTTTCTTTTGTTTTTTGACTTATGACCTTTGTAAACTTTATTCTCTTCGCCTTAACTACGGGCGAAGCATCGTGAAAAAATCTAATTGTCGCCATGCACTATCGTAAGGCCTGATAAAAAATTCAGTAGAAAAAGGCCCAAAGTCGATCCGAGCTATATCAGATGCGAAGTAGCAAATATGTGCGTCAAGAAGTATCCCCTTTTCAAACAAATTTTTTAGAAATCTAAGCCAGCCCTTTTGAAAAAAAAATACTTATCCAAGAGTGGCGATATGTAAATTTCCAAAATTCTTGGCTGATCGCTCCCTTTTTGAAAATAATTCACTAATTTCTTTAACGCTTACTACCTTTTAATTCTAAAAAAATGGCTGGCTTGAATTTTGAAATTCAGGTATTCACTGATTTGTCAATTCTTTTTCCTTTGATATTTCGACCGATTCTGACGCATCTATTATAATATGTATAATTATAAATAATCGCATCATCTATAACTCACTCTTAATCAATAACGCATTTGTATCGTTGGCTCTTGTCTAATCATATTGCGCTTGCAAATTGTTATTTATGAATTAGAATATCCAACCATTCAATATATTAATCTAAAGCTCACGATCGTCATTGGCCCAATATGATGATACACCCTCGTTATCATTAAGTATAATCAATACTAGTTATCATCATTAACCACGTCGGCATCATACAAAGATACTAATAGTATCTCGTGTTGTTTGTTTAAAAAACTCGAATCGACGTTAAAAAATGACTTTTTATTCGCAGTAATGGCTATATTGAATTTTTGAAAATCTGCCCGAATTACAATACAATACTGAGTACGCTGGCATTTAGCAATTTATAGTCTTTCGAGTATGTAGCCATACGATGCATGAAATTTTCAAAATAAAGTAAAAATCTTACAACTATTGTGCCTGGAAAGTCAACAGATGCTTTTCGTTTCTCCAGGCATAGCAATTCAAATTTTTTTTTTTTTTTTTCTAAAGCAGAAGCTCTCGGAACTTCTGTAATGCACAATAGTCGAAGTGTAAGTATATGTATATATATAAATTTATTTTGAAAATAAAAAACAGGAGTCCCAACTAATAACCACTTGTGGAAATATATTATAAGAACCACCGACACAAGCACTTCTTCAATTCACACACAGGATCATAAGAAATATGTAACATCCTTTACGGATAAATTTGATTTGCAAGCGAGAAAGCCGTTGTATTATTTTTCTTTTTTTTCATAAATTTTCATAAAAAATTTCAATTTCAAAACGAAAGAAAAGAAATGACTCCTCAATCTCCCAGGAACAATTTAATGAATTAAGTAAAATCATGGTGTAGCGACCGAACCTATAGCGACAACGTGTTTCTACAAATAATATATAACAAGGAAAGGAAGGAAAGAAATAAAAAGAAAAAAGAAACCGTCAAAATATTCAGTGTTAAAATAAACTTGTACTTGACATATTTGAAAAGATGATTGCGATACTTTCGTTACAACATAGTGTAATAAAAAAACAAAGATAAAAAATAATAAAACCTCAAGACGAACAGTCCTTTGTACGAGTATCAACTTATCCCGTCAAACAGATATCTTTCTTTAAAATAAGAGAGTCTTACGCGTTAATAATTATAACTAAGTGATGTGTTAAATAAAATCAAGTTAATGACTTAACAAACTTAACATAGATGCGCATGCGCATTTTACTTCAACAAAACTATTCTGGTACTTCAATATAGACACCGGTCATCTTTGTTTTTGTTCTTGCTCTACGCTTTCCTCTCACTCCAATTGTTCCCAAGCACCGCTGCGGGTCAATTTCCATTTATCTAGCGGCCTGACCGTAACATATACTTATACGTATATTATATTTATACACCTTATATATTCCAAGAAAGAAATATCAAGCTTCGCACCAAGCATAATTTAATGTAAAGAACGAAACAACGACACGATTCGTTAAATGCCATTAACGGATACATTTTTTTAGTTTCTCTCACGTCAAATACTTAGTCTTCATTCATACTCTTGAGAGAGATATTAGAAAATCGACGGATAGTAGACTGAACATTGTTAAATTATAACACAGTAATTACCGGAAGTTCTGTGCTCGTTAAACTTTACTGGCCCGTAGGCGCCGAATCCTCCTTGATTGGGACAGACCTTGATGGATTGGAAGGATATTGAAGTTTGAAAAAAAAAAAACTTACTCCTTAATATTTGGTTGATAGCGAAACTTCAGAAGCGGATATGTCGGCTGGCTTCAGGATTGGGGCATCGGAGCGGAGAGTGGTATGGTACACTGACCAATCAATTCTAAGAATTTTGAGAAGAATCATGGAGATACACTCTCTTGGTCCAAGAATTGATTTTGGAAATTTCTTAGGGAGTATGGTATAAGGATAGTCTCTCTTGAAACTATCATCTGTTGCGCTTAAAGCGAAGCATTGTTACTTTTTACCAGAATCCACCGGCACTGCGACCACCTGGTGGATTGTTCACGCGAATGCAGGCTCGCCGTGCATCGTCTACGTCCTCTGAAATAGAAAACAATAATTATTCTTCTTTCTTTTTCTTTCAAGGGTGTGTCGTACCGTAATATAAAAACATATATTTGTAGTACAATATTTTGTTGTCCTACTACAGTTAAGCGTTAATCAATGCAAATTTTGTACTTAAGTAAAACATGCAGTGCACGATTAATCTGAGTTTAAACCACGTGAAAGTCAGAGGCATAGAGGTGTAGGCACGTAACATTGTCGCTGTGATATCTTATCTACAGTTTATCTGTTCTGTTATCTCTAGCACCAGGGAGCATAAATAATTTAATATCTTTGGACAACCTAAAGAGCACCGCCGTATGTTGTACTTTCGTTATCAACGTTACGTTAAACTGAAAGGGATAAAACGTACCGCTAATGGAGAAGGTTGAGTCCTGCAGATTTCTTTGTCCTTCAAGACGTGGTCCTTTAGCAGACGGAGTAACAACGGCAGAATCCGGAAGTGTCGGGATACAGGAGACTGCTGGCAATTTTGGTTTTGGAGACTCGTGAATGCCATTCGTGTGGTTGTTCTCGTGGTATATCGCTGCTGCTGCTGCAGCTGCAGCTGCGGCTCTTGCAGCCTCCCTAGCCCTTGCCAGCGCTGCATCCTCTTCAGCAAATTTCTTGGCTTCGGCCTCGCTCCTGGGAACTCCTCTAGGTTTCTGCAATTGTTGAAAAATAAAAATCATCATATGCTTTTATTTCAATAATCAAATTAGTCTTACCTTCTCGTGCGCGTTGACAAGATCATAAACGTAAGCAGGATATGCAGGAGTCTCTACGTATCTTCCATAACCATGAACAGCTTTTAAATCGCCGTCGTCCAAGCAGACACGACCATTTACTATAACGTACTCGGGCACACCATGTACCTCCATACCCTGAACAGGAAGTCTTTTTTTAATGGAAATTTACATAAACAAAATAAATGAATATCGCAGCGATCATGTTGTAAAACATTGAGCCCACCTCAAAAATATTGAAATCCACAGCCTGATGATGAGTCTGAGCGCTGATCGTTCGTTTTCGGCTAGGATCCCAGATGACGATGTCCGCGTCAGATCCTAGGGCTATGACGCCCTTTCTGGGATACAGGTTAAAGATCTTCGCAGCATTAGTGCTGGTCACAGCTACAAATCTCGTAGGGTCCATTATACCAGAGTGAACACCTTTCTCCCAGACGATAGACATTCTGTCCTCGACACCATTGACGCCATTGGGAATCTTTGAGAAATCATCCTTGCCAATAGCTTTTTGATCAGCATTAAAAGTGCAATTGTCACTTCCGGTGGTCTGCAAACCGTCCCTGTATACGACGAGGTGACAATTAAATATTTCAAACACGCAAAAACACTTATGTTAAAAAATTCCACAATCTCTTGTATAACAATAAAAATTCAATCATCGTTCTCCGCTTCGCACAAACCAAATGTTTTCCTTTGCCTTCGCATACATATTTTTTTTTTTCCTTTGCAATAACGCATATTCTATTTTAACACGTCCCACGGTTTGCCATTAGCACAAGAGCGCATATATAACAATGCGTGGGTGATGTACAGATAGCTCCTGAGCAATTGGCATGTCCATATAATTAATTTATCACCTATTCCGAGACTATTAAATATACACAGTAATATATTCTCATCCAGAGGAGCAGTAGTCATCCGTTACATTTTTTATATGCATTTAATTATCTCGCACTTCCCTCACTATTCCCGTCAACTATTTTTAAGTCCACACTACGTCAGCCACTTCTGCAACCCATGGATGAATATCACAAGTGCTTTTTCATACCACTAGAAAGATGTCGGCCCATTAAGAACTTAGTCATCTCTTCTAATAATTAGAGTACTCCGGTATACACTGTGTCAGATACTAGATAAGTGTACTCCAAGAGTCTGGCTTAACAAGCACTAAAATTGAGTGGCTTAATATTTCACATTGCAAAACTGACATCACGATTTTACATCACGTACAGCTTTCGGAAATTTTGTTTTTCTTTCTTTGCACGGCCAGGGTCCTCATCCTTTTTTACTTACTGAGCAAGTTGTTCGATCAAATAAGCAGGTGTAGTGGGATCAGGCCTGAGTGGTGGCGAAGTAACGAATCTCATTCCCTTCATAGCGTCTTTTCCATATTGCTCTCTACCATCGATAGCCAGACTGCTGGCCAACGATTCGCCGAAGACGACGGCACCGTCAGCACGCTTCCCGTTTATCACATCGGCGGCAGATTTGCTCATGACGGCTGTCACGTACAGAGGACAATTGACCTGAGCCCAAGAGGTGGGACTTTGCCATTAGATATACTGGCATGATCATTCAAAAGAGTAACAGTAACCAAAAGACAATTTTCCACAGCTAACGAATAACAGATAAATACAAATATTGTGAATATGGCCCATACAATTTTTATTCATTAATCAATACGATTGGATGGATTTAATTGATACTGTTAGACCGCCCGGTAACAGACGGCTTCAAAAAAATTAGCACTTCTTACCACGGCCAGAAGATACTACTTGAACGGAATACTAATTTTGAAACGGATGATACACGTCACGTCTTCCATTGACAAATATATTATATAAAAGGTAGACCTCGGAAGAAGCCCACTCAAGATATTTACTTTAACCATATTCACACAAGGTGTCCTTAAGAGGATTGGCACTATCCTTAAGGAATGGACATTGCCTAGATTGTGCACTGGTGCATTAACGTGAACATAAGAGCGTGCCGTCTGCATAGCATAGCAAAGTGAGAAACGGTAACTTCAATGTCAGGCAAAGGAAAACATTTATATTCAGCCTGTGTCATGCAAGCAAGATATTAAAAAAAAAAACAATATTTTTTTGACCAACTACTCTAAGAATCCTAAATTTATCTACGCACAGACAAAATTCATATTGCCTTTCCTTCCGGCACTTCCAAAGGAACGCCCAGTGTTGATCCCTAAAAAGATTTCTGTAACTGGACACTCACGTAGCTAGTTTTGTCATAAGGACTTCCGGCGTCTTTTCGTCTGGTCTCAGCGGCGGACTCAGTATATGTCCTGCTGCATGCCTCCAACAGCTGTGCCGATAGTTTGTACCGTCGGTTCCTAATGCTGCGGCCAAAGTCTCTCCCCAGACTGCGACACCGCGTCTTCGTGCAGCTTCCAAACTTTCAGCCGCGCTACGACTCATCACATGCACTACGTACAGTGGACATTGAACCTAAGCGTGCAAAATCATAGGATTCTCTACTATAGGTTTAATCGGAAATAATTTTGCAGTTAATGTGCAAAAAGACATATTGAAAATAAAGTGAAAAAAAGTGATGAAGTTTAATCACAATAGCAACGAGATCAGGTGCAAGAGCGTGTATATGTGTCAACGTTTATAATTAATTTTTGCTGTTTTGTCAATTACCTGATTGGCTATTACGCAAGCCCTATTAACAGCCTCCGCTTCCACTTCCTCTGGTCTAGACATCTCATGACCCTCTGGTCCTGTTACACCAGCTTCCAAAAGTCTCTTGGTGTTCTGCCAAACGAATAAACGAATAAATTTCGAAATCACTTAAATAATTTCAGTCCTAAATTATTGTACAAATGCAACTCACCTCGGCTACCAAGTCTCCGTTTTCTGCATGCACTTGTGCAACAGCACCGAGACTCTTGCAAGCTGTGAAGGCTTGGATGAGCTCATTATCCCTGAGCATGAATAGATCACGGTAAGCCATGAACATTTTGAAACTGTTCACACCATTATCCTTGATCAACGTAGCCATTTCCTCTTTCACCTGAAAAGAGTACACATTGTCATTACGTAATCCTAACTAAGTGGATACTCATGGAGAGCCCTTTACTTCTTTAACGCCTCTCCTATTCTACGAGGAATGTCATTGGCCAACAACGTATTTACAATTTACAGAACAGATTCCTTAGCTGCTTAACCATGTATGGCATGTATGTCGTTCATGGCATGTGGGTTAGAAGTTTACTTGAGAAGAGAAATAACCAGTTAATGGAATAGTACTAGACTGCGTCGAGCCTCTTATGGGACCCAGGAGAGAAAGTCGATATGTTTTTCGAGTTTACAACAATTATTCTAAAACATTTCACAAGAAAGTTTCCACTGGAAAAAAAAAATCTTAGCACGCCATTCGTCATACAACACTATACATGAGTTTCTATGGTTCTCAAGTGATTTCCTCCGATACTGTAATTCAAGTTAATTGATTGATCAGGCGACCAGAAGGGTGTTACACTTGATTGGTTTCAATGACTGACTAAGCTACTAATAATGACAGACAAAAAAAACATGACTAAAAAAATTGTCTAATCAGGCGTTTCTCTGAATCCTGCCATCATCCAGAGACTATAGCCATAATCGGTCGTCCGCTATTAACTGCCAAGAGAAGAGCAAACAGTAGCCATTACAAATTTCTAAATAATACTTGTACAAGAAAATCTCAATTTTTATGCGTTAATTTCACTAGCAATCCTAGTGCATGCTAATTACATCAATCTCATTAATTTTAATCCACATATCACCCAACAGTACCTCAGTTCACTGGGAACTGAAGCCCTGGCTTTACCGAGATAATTATAAAAAGTAACGAAGCGCGCACGAGGGCCGTGTGAACTGTAACACACATGTCAGATGATGACCTCACGCGAGTCTCACATTGTAAGGAACTTCATCAAGTGGGCCTCCCCGAAAGCGCCGACTATCAAAACTGGAGCACGAGCGGCTTGTCAAAGTGCACTACATAAATTCAGGAGCAAAATGACCTCCCCTCTTCAATTAATTGTACATTAAAATAAATAAATGAGAATTAAAATGTAATTTTCCAACGCCATTTCATTGACCCCGTCTCCAAGAGGTAACTTAAGCATGAAACGTCACAGAGGCTGCACTCTTAACAGCCCTTTATTATTCGTCATTCTCGTCATTATCTAGCGTCATTTGCGTACGGACGTGATGCCCAGTAAAATTGCATCCAGCAAAACAGGATGTCGCGTTTCCATGGCAGAAACGCACTTGGCCCTAATTTAGTAAAATGCATTCAAATGCTCTTCTATACTCTACATGCTCTTTGGTAGAGAGCGATTTTTCACCTTTGAATTCCAAGATGTCACAGCAACGTGCAGTGCGTAGTCGCAGCAGACCTTCTCATCAGCCGTCGCCCTGTATCTGTCGTAAGCCTCCAGGAGTGTCTCCCCTTTGGTGGGAATCACAAAATCAATTATCATTGTGGTACCGCCAGCGACGGCAGCTTTGGTGCCTTGATAGAAATCATCCACGGACGTAGCACCCATCAGTTGCAACTCGAAATGAGTGTGTGGATCTATTCCACCTGGCATCACGTACTTTCCTCTGGCATCGATGGTCCTGGTGCCACCAGGGATTATGAGATTGCGACCCAGTTGTCTGAAAAATATACGTTCTTTATATCCTAGGACTGACAGTCATTTTTCAAAGGATTTACGGCCTGACGTGATTTCTCTCTGCTACAAGGACTTAAGAGACTCTTTGATATGTTGCTTATTTAATGGCTAAGATCCTGGATATCAGTTAGCACCACGAGGTTTAAAAAAAGAATTAAACCGAGCAACGCGTATGGCTTTAGGCGCATTTCCAAACTCAAACTCTGACGCCTTGTGCAAAATTACAAGAAACGTAAGTCTAAACAGCCTCTTCATGGAAGGCCATTACAATAATATTTGGTCCGTATTAAAGGAAAGCACAGAAGAACAAAATTGAGCCATCCGATTATCTAACACGTCACTAAATGTTAAATCAAAGAACTATATTATATGAAAAATATCAAAGTATAAATTTTACTAATATTTTTTTTTGGCTCATTGGTTACTGAGTGTAATAGATCAAGTCTGCCGTTGAATGGTATAAATTTAGGATCTACGTTTAAAGAAGCCACATGAATTTCTCTTTGGATCCTGGACCGAACACGTGTTGTACCACCCTCGAAGGTAAAACATCCCCTAAAAATAACCAGTGCCATTACTCTAACGTAGACTATACACCATTTACTACTTTACTCGTTGGTTTTCTAGCTTTTTTGTAAATATAAATTTTTCTTCTTTCCCTGTCCATGATTCGCTAAAGCATCTGACTCACTAAACGCCGGTTTACCCGGTGGCCAACGAGTTTAATCTACAATCAAATTCGTTAGGGGAGCCGAAGCAGGGTACGGGTAGGTCGAGTTAAGTTAGAAACGAGGGTCTCTACTGGCCATGTCCGGCTGTTGATACGGCGTGCAGATTGTCACGCCACGTACATACACACAACGGCCACCGGAGTTTCCCCTGCCGATAAAACCGGTTTAGAATCAAGAAACGCATTTCAATTCTTTTAATTTTCACTTAGACAGAATGTGCTTCGAGTTTTCTTTTACTAGTGGCGATTATTAAATATTCCTTCTTTATTTACTTGATGATTCCATCCTCAATGTAGACGTCGCTGTCAATAATTCCATCCTCGTTGACGACCTTTCCATTTTTTATGAGCAGCCGATTCTGGGCACTCTGAAAAATATTAAAAAAAGAACAAATAAATTTATTGCCATTCTATGATAGGCAGAAGCATGAAAAACAACATTTGTCATATGAGTAAACGTCTGACGCTTTCATGGACTATCTTTCTCAATCTATATGGGATACACCAGAGTGATTGTACAATATGCAAGCATCAAAGCACCGGGGTACATTTGTTTTCAGAGCTTTTACGCGGCTGTTGAGTTCTATTTTTAATTTTTTAACTTCACCGTGTCGCCCCTGTCTCTTTGAGTAAGTCAACCCAACACTCTAGTAATTCCTCCTCCTTTAAAAATACATGTACACTCAATTTCTTGCTGTCAGACGCAAAGGAAGTTTTACAAATTCCAAAACCTCGTGGAATACGCTGAATCAAAATCGTTAGTCTCGACAATTTTTCTATTCAGAGCAAAATCGAGAAAGAAGCTTGTCTGGGAATTTTTAATTCACCATCCAGCCGTGGCGGTCAGAAGAGCAATGGACCTCTTGCTGTGAAATATAAATAAGGTGAAGCTCCCTCTGGCATTTATTGTACAAGGGTCGCTACCCTTCTTCTCTTGCATACTTCCACCGTGGTGCCACCGTATTCACCAGGATATAGATTTTCAGGGCAGTGCTTTTAGCCCCTAGGTCCTCCCTAGATACCCCATAACAGCCGCAGGACATTTTTGTCATTGATCCTAATGCGCTCCCAGTGAGAATTAGATAACACGATTGATCCTAGTGTGACTTACACTGGATTTACAAAATTAGGTTTTCTTAAAAAATTAAGTCGAATATTTAAACTAATTGGATATTTTAGTTAAAGTAATAGTTGTCTATGAGCTTCAAATCTTGTCTAGAAAGTATACGATTTCTTTTTCCTAGCTCCCCCAAATATGGAAATAAACTTTTATTCTTTCTAATTGTTGACAAATAATGTTCCAGGGATTCCTATAGTACAGCCAATACATACGGTACACGAGTTTTCAGCACGTGGGCGTTGGAGTAGACCTTGACATTCTAGAAACTTGTTACACATCAGAGTTTCTCTATTACCAACATAAGATATAGAATACTGGATGGAGTTGTGGCAATGTAATGGAAATAGTAATGATTTCAGGAATTGAACGACTGTGTAATAAAACTGGAATAGCAGATGAACAGATAGCCAATTTCTCTATTCCGTGTGATGAAAGGTCTGCGCTTGAAAATAGCAATGGAATTGAAAGCAACAAAAAGAATAATGCGAGCCAATCGTGCGTGCATTTGCTTCAAAGGAAAGGTCGCAAAAACTTCGAGGAACCTCAAGAAGCCGAAACACGCGACCTACTACACTTCTAGGATTGGCTGGCACGGTCTCCAATCGATACCAACTTCCGGCTTTTCTTCTCCTCGAATCTCGCGAGTTTCGAATTACGTCGTTGCAATCCGAAAATCGTGATTGGCGCCTCGTCTTTTTCAATGAGCTTACTGAAATGAAAATGACTAAATTTAGAAAGACCTTCGGGTCGAAGTCATCCATGCTGATGCATATGTACTCACGCGTGCATATGTAGATAGACCAATATCAATATCACAAAGTGAATACCCATTATATGCCAGTGATAGAAAAAGAAGTACGATTCTTATCAACTGACCTTCAATACTTTCTTTTAACTTCCTATGGATAACCTCGTCGACCAAAAATTATTTCACGATAATTCTACAGGTCTTTTCGGTGTCTCATAATAGGACAATAATTATTTCTAATACAATCATTGTCGATTGGAGACTTCAAAATTCTATTCTATTCTCAACTTTCATAAGCCTCATATTTTCCATCTGCTACAGGCCGTTTCAGTCAGGTTACTGCAAATCCATAAGCTTTGGCTTGGCTTCGCAGCATTTCCAGCACGACAGTCGGTCAAGCCGGCTTTCCAACTCTTTCCCTGGGATTAATGCCAGGTCACTGACAGAGACCTCAGCGAGACCTCACATAGTATTGTTTACGTGTTTTACGTTGGCTCACGTGTGCAAAGAACCAAGGAAGGAGGTCACGCGACTGTCCTCTACGATCCAGTTAGTTCATCCCAAGTCTGAGCCACTGACTATAGGTCTCATGCCGCATGTGTGTAGCATATATTCCTTGGAACCTTTGCTATAGTTTAATAGTACCCTATCGCTTGGCATCCTATAGCAATTGGCGGGACGCACCTGCCTGCTACGTATACTATTTTTACACTTTGTGAATACGCCACAACTAGAACGAGCAACCTGTATTCTCAAAGTCAGGAGAAACCGGCGCCACGCTCATACGTACAATGACGTAACCTTGTCCATCCCATTTTACCTTTTTTTTATATATTGACTACACCGCAACTGTAATTCCCATCGCCTATCTGCTCGTAACAGACTAGCACAATCTGATGTCTAAAAGAAATGCTGTTATGAGTCTCAGGAATATTTTTACAAAATCCTGACACACTGCCAAACGGTGCTTCTGTGTATTTCGGTTCATGCTTTTGCGAAATTCACTCTCGTTTATCGTCCTCATTCCTCGAGTCCCAAATTCTGGATAATTCATCCCGTCTTGAACTCCCACTAAGAACATGTTAATATCAAGTTTTAAATGCGTATAAAGAAAATTTAAAAAATCTAGTACAAGTCTACAATCTAGCCAGCCTTCCTGATAAACAATACATTTCCGATACTGCCTAAAGTTCTCACGTGAAAAACCTTCTACATTTTCCACCACTTTCATCCAACACGACATTACCAGCAGTGTCGACGTACTATCGATTCGCAGCAGCGGTTCCACAGGGTCTAGACTCGTTGAGATACGGAGAAGCCAGCAATGGCGTTCAGCCAAGGTTTAACAATATTTCAGAATGATTTATCAACCAGTTAAGGGCAATGTATATATGATAAAAATCAATCCTAATACGTAATTTCCTACAGCGACATGTAGCTGCTCCTACGGGCTTAGAAGCATTGTAGAATTTGAAACGGCCAGTAGCTATAACATCTTTCCACTCATCGCTTTTCCACCCGACGACCCATTATAGAGCAAAGTCAACGAACTATCGATCCACACAAGTCGATTTCGTGGATTAATCATACTCGACCTCTCTATTTGGTACAGGATTTTTCATAAATCAAACAGAGTAGTGTCATTATGTGTTTGTAATGTGGATTACGGATCTGCAAGAGACATAACAATTTCAATTAAATTTGTAAATGATCATCCAAAAACATAAACCCTTTTTAGCTACACAATATTGCTGATATTACACAAGCAGAAAGTTTCTATGACAGCTGTCAAGTCCTACAGATGTTTGGAGCTGGATTCATCTTGCATAATTATATTTAAGACTGTAATGTACTATTGTATATTAAACCTCCTCCTGTCTTTCTATCCATTATTTTCTCTGCCTACCAATTAATAAATTCAATTCCACCTCAGAGTATCTCAGTGATCTCCGTTCTAGGAGAGATAATTCACTGTGTAAAACCTAACGGGATGATGGTGGTCCATTGTTCCACCAGCAGAAAACCAACCAGCAGTATACCAACATCGAGACATTAATATCTACCTTGGCGAATCTTTCCATTGGATTCGATTGGACGCCTAGAAATCAACGCTCGGCCTCCATTGAAATTGGAACGGACGAAACTGCGTGTTTCAAATACTATTATACACAGTGTATTACGTGGCAGCCTGGTAAACAAATCTACACGGGCGATCTATATATCTACCTATATACAGTGCCCATTGTTAAAAAGAATTACCAAAACTACGACTCTGTACAAGCCTGCCATGCGTGATGAAAACCCGCAAAGGGTTGTCTGTCTTTTACGTTACATCCCCCTTTGTAGAATTACTAGAATGCTCGATCTGGGTGTTAACACAATTTTGCCCAAGTGGCCATTAAATGCTAGCTTTTTTTAAACTCGTGTAACTCACACCATATGCCATTACATTTTTTCTGTTATACTTCCTAATTAAATACTTGCATAATGCACGCAAGGAGTGAACTCTCATATGTAAAGCTATAAATATTTCAAAGAATTTTAGTCGAACGAAGGACAATTTTTTGCTCCATGTGCTCCAGGTGAGAGTAGTGTATTGCAGGTACACGTATCTTTTGTTACTTCATATATGTTTCTTTTAGAAGTCTCAGCACCGACCGCGCATAAGTACCCCTTGGATCAATAATGTAGTATATGGTAGGTAAGCCTGTGGTCTCGAAACAAGATTGTATTAAACTTTCGCCTTCGGTTCCGTAGAAAACCGGAAGACGCACAGTGTCGGATATTTCGATCAACGGCTTTGCAGTTGCGTCAATACATAATGCGTAATATGTGCGACGTACTGACTGTGCATGCGCGTGCTGATACATTGTGTCCGCGCCCGTTTCAATTTCAATGGCCCATCCCGTCTCTGTCTGTATCTCATTTCACTAGTCCATTAGAAAGACGATGAACCAAGTAATTATAAGATACACCTCACCTGTGGGCACGTTCATGCGAAAAATAGAATAGAGTTCGCATAAAGATGTAACGTATTGACATGAATGAGTGAGTCTACATATAACGTTTAGAAAAATAACTGCCGAATCAGTAGTAATTCCACTCACTGACACATGTTATCTTAACCGGTCTGGTATAACATGAGATTGAAAAATGAAAAACAAGAAAAAGATACTAGAAATCTATTTGCAGAATTCTTAATTATTTATCCAGCGCAGAATATACAAGGTCTACGTATCGCTTCATAAACATCCTCGGAGAATTTGTGAGTTTAATTGATTAAATCATCTTCTAGTCGAGGATGACATTTATTTTCATATACTGAATGGACTATCTCATTTTTACTTGATAAACTATTACATAACCTATTGCCTGTATATCTGGTCGAGTGGACGTTTCGTTGAAGACTCAAAAACTGTCTGTTATCTCAATGTAAACTTGTGACAAAATGGTATATTAACTAAATAAAGGTTGAAACTTAGTGGTGGTAATGACTGACCTGCAAATGGATGGGCACCTTCTTCACTGGTGTACTCATGTTGACAGTCGATGAATTTCAAATCGAAGATTATCTCACAAACGACTCAGCGTACATGCACCGATACAAGTACTATTGCACCACACTATTTCCGTTTCAGGAGATGGTAGGATTGAATTGCTCGTTGAAAAGTGGCCGCAACACGCCAGCAACTGATTTGTTATATATGTGCGTCTAGTGCTGAGGCCAGCGATCGACTGATGCCGGGTGATGCCGAGTGCGCAGTGTTGCTGTGGCGTGGTGGGGAGGGTGTAGTATACGAATCTACCCCCGAACGTAGCACCAGGAGTTTCCCTCACATTGGAAATACTTTCTCCGGCACTGCTTTCCTGGTTAACAGTAATATTAATTCACGATGTTGTTATTTTTAACATTCTATACCAAAATTTATTGGTACTCGTAGCATACACGTATATCTGTTTATAAATACAATAAACGCCGGAGAATCCGTTACGTGTACTAACCGTGAAGTCCTGCAAACCGTTAATCATTCAAATGAGTAGAGCAAATTATTTTAATTCTCATTTGTTGTAAACTGTAAAGGTTTCAAATTGTAATGTTGTAGTATCAGGAATGTATCCTGATTTTAATGGTTATCATTGAAAATTTCAAATAACCTGCCAATAATTAATAAGTTGAAAATACATAAATGGATACCTGCTCTGATCCTTGCCGAAAATCCGAACCTTTTCTTAGATACCTGGATTTACTAAGGTCGGGATTAATGCAGGTTTCTTCAATTTCGGAATATATATTGCTTCCTGGGTTTTTCCAGGATTCACAGGTTAACAAGCAGTCCCAGCACTATTGTATTACATGTTAATTTTAGAAATTTCTCTGAATAATAGAGATCAGACAAAAAATATAATATTGTTTAAATGACTTGGCAAAATTTCATAAAGAAACAGAATTCTTGTCCGGCATTGATTGATAGTGATTAGTTCAAAAATTGGTAGATTCTGAACAATGCGAAATATATTACTATCTGCTTAAGTCACTAATGAAAGCTACTAATACAATTTCTATAATCACGGGCAGTCAGATCCCTGGAAACTGACGTTTGCAAGACTCATCCAGGAAGAGAGTGATGGTAATAATAAAAATAGTGAGTCTATTGCACTCAGTGTATTCTATCAATAACAATGGCGCCATGTAAGTCAACCGGTAGTCCGTGTCTCCCATACGAATCTGTTTCCTAAATAAAGTATCGTAGAAAGACATGAACATAATAGGAATTGCTGTACACCGTGTTGTGTCTGAGCTCTAGATATATTAATTAATATCACATACCTCTTAGTGTCAACCACAAGTATTAATAAGTATGTATGTATATTATCTGAACTCAAATTTCGAACACCCTCCTCGTTCTTTAGAATCTCCTCTGCCTATTGGAATGCGGGAAATATCTACTAGAATGCGAAGCGTCAGTACAGCGGTAAATTAGTACATTTCGGAATGTAGTTTTGCAATTCTTTCATGGTAATTTTCGTATGATAACCACTTTGAAGTTACAGGCCGTCGGTAATAGTCCACCATAGTACCATCTAATGGCGTTGACAACTATACTTGTAAAATTGTATTCATCGAGGTCGATAAAGATAACACCCATTCCGTTACCTAATTTTTGTTTTGGAATAATTTTGCAATCATCCAAAGGATTCGCGAAATAGAATGATATGTATTGCCCCTATAAGTACTCATTATTCAAATAACTGGTATAATTCGAGTTCAAGGTTCATGACGCCAGCGATTTCGTTTGCGCAGACCGAATGGATACAACGTGCATAACGCTTTAGAAATATATCTGCAGAAAATTCATAAATGTAGTATGAGTCTGTATATTAAAATCATGTGAGTTCAGCATCCGTTAGTGTCCATTCTTGTGAAGTAATAATTAAAAACTGTTGTCTTTTCATTGAAATCGAATAAGTTATAGGTGAGCACTATAGTATGACTATTGTATTTTACGTAAGCAGACAACATTTTAATTCGATGTGTGACTGCCCATCTTTAGGTTGTTGTCCAGTCCAGCAGCTCCACAATCTGCTTCTGGATATTTCTAAATCTTATTGGATCTTGATTAATGTCCTTCTGACGATACTGAATTTTTAATGCCAGTTAAACAGGTAAGCAACTTCTAATCAAAGCTTTTTAGTGTGTGTGCTTCGCTAAATCTATATCAGGTCTTCACGTGCTAATTGACAGATGTAAACGATTGAGAAAATGAGCAGTTTGAAATTTCAGTTGGTTCAACATCATTTTTTTCAGATTATTTTCAATGTTGGCTTGACTGAACACATTCGAACAGCTACAAAATTCTCTGGAAGAAGTAAGAATGTGTTGCTCTTTTCTTATACAGTAGTTTTTCATGTACTTAAAGTAAAGTGATTTGGAAAATATCGCATGCTCTTTATGTACTTTAAATAATGTTTGATAACTATATAATCCTGGCACTTGGCCCTCTATGAGGGCATAAACCCATAAGGAACAAGAAGAAGAAGAAGAAGAAGATTACTATATAATGACTGATATTTACATTTAACTATTTACATCATGATGTTACGTGATATCAGATAAAAATGTTACTTTTCAAGGGAATGGTGGTCAATGGACAATATGAGAAGTCTGAGGTGCACTTTTATGGTCATGGTAGGACTTATGGTTATCACTGTAATTACTATATGGAATTTACAAGGATATATGGCAGCTGATACTGTATTAGCAATGTCTGATGATAATTTGCAATTATGTTACGAGTCCATAGTTATGAAGTCTTCTGTGAACTCCAATAATGTAAAACTACCTATGATATATTTTGTTACACCAACATACCCTAGGCGGGAACAGTTTCCTGAGCTAATGCGACTCGGTCAGACATTAATGCACGTAAAGAATTTACATTGGATTGTTGCTGATGACAATAAAAATTGCAATCCAAATTTGATATCCTTGCTAAAAAAATTTGGTAAACATTTTTCCATTTGGGGAGCTTGTAAACCATGCTAGTTCCATAAACCTGGTTTTGTATTACCATTACTATTGCTTTGTACAGAAATTCCACTGACTGTTTTTGCCAGTCCGATGCCAGAGGTTTATAGGAAACGTGATAAACAGCAAGTTCCTCGCGGGGTAGCCAATCGTCGCGCCGCTTTATCCTGGATAAGAAATAATGCTGAAAGTGGTGTTCTCTACTTTGGAGATGATGACAATACATTTGACCTGGATCTGTTCCAAGAGATTCGTCATACAAAAAAAGTATCTATGTTTCCAGTTGGCTTAATAGGGGAGTTTGCTGTTAGTGCTCCTGTTGTCAAAGAGGTACTGTATGACTTTGTAGCCATGGAGTTAATATATAATTAATGCATTTGTTAAAGTAGTCTTTCTTTTTTGGCTCAGGGAAAAGTTGTTGGCTTTTTTGATTCTTGGCCAGCAAATAGAAGATTTCCAGTTGACATGGCTGGTTTTGCTGTTTCCATCGAGTTTTTGAAACTTTCTCCTGGTGCTATCATGCCCTTCAAAGTTGGTTTTGAAGAAGATGTGTTTTTAAAAAGTTTGGGTATTCGTTATGAAGACATAGAACCTCTCGCCGATAACTGTACAAAGGTATTAATAGATAACTACTTGATTAGTCTGCAAGTTGATAACATTGAGTAATTATGTTGAACTTTACAGATATTAGTGTGGCACACGCAAACGGTTAACAAACCAATTCCTACATTACGCATTGTTAACGAGGATACTGGTACATCAATAAATGAATTAATAAACAACATTTCTGAAATGGGAGTAATAAAGTCTAGTCAAAGAAAAGGTAAAGTTATCATTTAATAATATAATTTAAAAAGTTATAAAAGACTACTTCTCTATACTTATTATATAGGAACAAGTTTATATTACACTAATAGTAACGGACGCATAACGTTTTGAGATGATTATGGTAGCTTTTGGCATTAAAAGTTCTGGAGAGTATTTAAAAAGCAAGTAATTAGAGTTGGATGATGATATGTACATACAAAAGGAAGTTCTTCTAACGTGGAACATTGTGCTGGCTGTGCCACACAAGCTTTTCACTATCTGTGTGAGTATCTCCACAGAAATGTTGTAAACGGTTGTTAAAATAAAAAAGACGAGGCTGTTAAAAATAATCTAGGATTCTGGTAATAATGAAATACAATTTAACGTTCGATCTGATAGTTTGATAAAGTATCAAAATCTAATAGTTATTTAATGACATTTAAATAGTGTGATTCAACTCATTATTTAAACAATATTAATATTTAATATTTTTGCGCGTAGATCTTGTTCTACAGGTAATTTCTCGAACACAATGAGATTATGAAATAAATTAAAATATCATATTGTGTATAAAAATATAAGGCTAAATAAAGATTATTTCATTATATTCGTTATAATTTCATTCCTTTCGTATTTTCCAAAAAAGAAAAAAAAACCTAAAAGCAGATAAGCGATAACTGCTATAGATTGCCAACATGGCCACGTAAAGTTTCGAGAGATTTGAAGGATCTAGTTCCAGAATATAATTTTACATTGGCTCTGTTGGCAATTTGCAGTAGCGTGGTGTAAGTTGTGACGTGTCGTCTTTGGCAAGAAATTTATTGAAAAATTCAATCAATTTCAATAAAACGGATGATTTTCTTAGAGTGAGAGTTGTTCTATTAACTGTTAAAAATGTTGACAAAGTTTGAGACCAAATCAGCCCGCGTTAAGGGCCTTTCTTTTCATCCAAAAAGGCCCTGGGTTCTTGCTAGGTAAGTGAGACTATAGTACCGAAATTCTGTCATTTTATCCACTATTTATATAAAATATGGGAACTTCATTTACTTGACAGTATGAGTAGAAGTTGGTTAATGTCTACAGAAACCTCTATGTAATTTAAGACATTTCATAAAACTTATAAATCAACCTTTGCTTTTGCTTCTTGGTACAGAAATTGGTATTGCAAAATACATGGACTTCTCATGGAATCAATTGCTATATACTTCTTATTTACTTGGCTTGATCATTTTTTAATGCATATTCTTTACAATGTTTGAAGCTATAGTATTGAAGGATATATTAATATTTTATCATTCATATAGATAGATAATACAGATGTTCCTTGAATCATGGTTTATTGTATATTCATTAAACATTTAACTTATGTCAACAATAGTAAAATCACACTGATAAGTAGGATGCAGTATAAAAACAAAGACAGGGAAAGGGATATTAGATGAGCTTAAATAATAAAAGGAAAATATTCAAAGCTAATCTAAACCGTCTCCAGCTGTCTTGTATTCATATTATTTTTTAAAGTGTTAAGGTTTTTCGGTTGGGCTAGAAGGTGTTTCCGAGTCTGTTCTTTCTACAGATAGTGTTGATGTTTCGGTTTCGCTCTGGGCAGTGGTAGTTTCCATTGGAGTTGCAGGAGCTGACTCTGTCATTACATCAGCAGAAGCTGCGGCTTCAGATTTTGGTTCTTTTGGAGCATCTTTCATATCTTCCATTGCTGTAATTTTTTCTAAAGCAGAACTAGTTTCAGTTGTTGAAGTTTTTTGTTCAGGAAGAGAAGTCTGTACTCCAAGAAGTGGTTGTTGGATCTCTGCAGGTTTACCTTCTTCGATAGAATTAACAGCAGGTTCTGTAAATTCCTGAAGACTAAACAGACCAGATGGGGAAGGATAGTAGTAATCGAGTGAAGGTGGATAGTAATTTTTCTGGAAGGCATTGTACTGATTATATGGTAGGTATTGTTCTTGGAAAATTCCTTGAGGTTGCAGGTATCCTGGAGCTCTAGGTGGACTATAGAATCTTTGGAAATTCAAAGGATATGGTTGGATCTGTGATTGAAATCCAAACAGAGAATAAGGATTTGGCAGAAAGAAAGAATCTTGTGGAGTTTTTTTCTCATTCATCTTTTCGTCAGATGCCTTATCTTCTTTTTTGTTCTCAACCTTTTCCACAGTAATAGTATCCTGCTCTGTTGTGGCATTGGACTCTTCAGATTTGGGAGTTGTGCTGCTACCTTCTATCATTTCAGAAGAGCTTTGATTATCTTCTGACGGTTTTTGTGATCCAGCAGCCACTATTTCCTTCATTACATCTAATTCCTCCTTCATTTTAACTTCAGACTCTGGTCCTGATACAAAAACTACACCACTGCTACCTCCATTGAAATCTTGAGTCGTGTATGAGTATCCCTGCAGAGTCGGATTCTCCTGGATAGATCCATAAAGAAAATGCGGCGTTATCGGAACCGGGAGCTGCAAGGTCTGATACGTAAATGGAAACGTGGCCTGGGCAGATGCTATCAGGATCACCTGTACATAATAAAGTAAAATAATCCTCAGTACACTTCAACACTTTTTCATAAAGCAATCACTTTTTAACATAGTTGAACTTTTACTATCACTTTCGTGAATACTCACAAGAAGAACCGGAACCGGAAGTTCTCTTATCATTGTGAGTTACCTATAAATGAACTGAAGAAATGAAAGGTGTGCCAAGGAATTAATGGCTCTGAAGGAAAATCCGGGACTGTACGAAATCTCAATGTGAACTGCCTGTCAAGGAACAACAGGACCATCTATATAAAGTGCTACTCTATAGCTACTGTACCCCACCAACTTTCAATACTTGAACGAAGCCAGGAATGACCTGGATTTTCGTAATCGGCCCCAGGCCACCGATGACCATTCTGTTATTCCGTTAGTCGGCTTTTGACAAATAACAAGATGTGTCCACCCGTTCACTAGTTTAACGGGCTTTTTAAGTTTACTAAATGTTCTCCTGTTCAGCCTCCACGATTCTTGATCCCACTGTACACAGTATAGTATCATGTCTTTACAATGTGGTCCAGTTTAATATTAGTACCGCTAGTCGGAAGATTCTGGACATGCAAATTACTTCTTATAACAGTTTCGTCAAAATTTGTCAGACAAATGTGTCTATGATTCATTGAGTGTAGCTGAAAGATGATCAGGAAGTGCTCCATGCCCTGTGATTTTTTGTCTATTGAAAAAATTGTATCCTGTTTTAATTTTTTTCTCTGGAACCTTTTTGTTCTCTGGAACTTTGTATAGAGTCTTATACAATGTAATAATTTTTGTTGTGATGAAATAAGCCAATTTGAAACAATGATACTGGTTTGATATTTTGGAATCCACTATTTTTTGAATGAGAATTTCAAAACTGTTGAAAAATTGGCAGCAAAATTACAACGTTTATACTACAAAATTAGTTTAGCAATTATGTAATTGAATATTAACTCTTTTTTTAAATTTATGTCAGTAATCCGTAATTACTCATGCTTAATAATTAAAGTGTAATTTATAGATTCTTTTACAGTGGCTCTAATAAATGTCACAATGCTTCCTACACCATCAGAGTCTAATAAAGCTCACAAGTCACAAGATCAAAAGAATCAAAAACAGAATTCCAAGAATTTCTAAATGTATTGTCTGCACTTTTTTTTCTTGCTAGTAGCGATTCAGACGAACACTGAATAGCTTGTTGAGCTAGAAGGAATAAGATAGATTCGCAAAAAAAAAAAATAGTCCAAGCAGCATCCGGCCTTGGTAGATTTCGTCAGTACAAAAAGAAGCAGTAGCTGTGCAAGGTCATTGTAATTGAATAAATGCATCGCAATAAAAAAAAAAAAAATGTAAGATTCAACTTTCCTTTGTAAACGCAGGGTAATCGGAATACGTAGAAAATGATAAGATCAGCCAACACAAACATAAAATAAAATCAAGTATGATTTTCGATACATGTCACAATCTCCATTATACAAATATATTTTCTGCAATATTGTCTCAACCTCTGGAGATCAGAGTCAACCCGATTAAAATTAAGTAACCAGGCCACCACGCCTACAAGAAGCATACGAGCTACAATACGCGTACAAACTTTTACTACCACAGAACATATACATAAGATATTTTATAGCCGTGATTATGGCGATTACAGTTGACCTTTAGTTCCAGAATCATTTTTTAATCGGTTTTCTTTAACTTGCGTTTACCCTATAGCTTGGGATCTTGTGTACCTCACGTGATAGATGGAGATCAAGTTAACTTCCCGTGTCTAGATTTATGATTTGATCATCAAGAATTTGCTGCATTATCAAAAATTTGCGCTTTGTGCATAAATAATCCTACATTGGGCACAATTCTTTGAACAGCCTCTACAGGAGTGATGACCTGTCTAAAAAGTTGCATCATTATTAATGAAGGATTTTTTTATCTCACTTTTGCTTTTACCAGGAACCAGTTGATTAATTCTATCTCAACACAATACATACTGGGTATGGATAAACTGGATTATGATCTGTGTAGTCATGATAGTGACAAAAGGACCTGCGCAGAATCCTATTATGAAGGTATCAATAGGAGAAACAAGTTATCGTTCTTTCAATGATTAACGATTAATGATTCTCGTAGTTATATGGTGTCTTATCGTATCTAATAATTAAGAGCGTTACGCCTTACAATGCTAGAGAGTAATTCCTAGTAGACTATCGGAGAAAGTACTGATACTAATTTATTATAGGTGTAACCACAAGCTATTGTCACCCTACTTTTTATATAAGAAAATATCAATTTACAATAGTCAGTCAATGATTGTATTTATAATCTGAACTTTTTCATAGATTACTTACGCACGAATTCACGTACTTGCCAAAAATAGATTGTACAGATAAAATCAAGCAGTACGTAAGGTAGTGAGGCAGTAAAGCAACTTTGAATTCTTATGTCCGCATATCGAAGGCTAAGTAATGCGTCAATATTAAATATAGTTATTGTCATTGGCTTAGATGACTATCATGTAATTTTCAATGATGGAGACTTTCCTCATACGTTTCTCTTTAGCAATCTAGGAGTGAATTTCTATTATTTCTTGTATTAAGATTTCAGGTATTGTACCGTATTCTGAATTTCTGTTTCAGCTTGCACAATGGTGTTATTCAGCTGTGGGACTATCGCATGTGCACCCTGTTGGATAAATTTGATGAACACGATGGTCCAGTGCGTGGAATATGTTTCCACAATCAGCAGCCGTTGTTCGTGTCAGGTGGAGATGATTACAAGATCAGAGTTTGGAATTACAAGCAGCGCAGGTGCATTTTTACTCTTATGGGACACTTGGATTATATCAGGACTACCATGTTCCACCATGAATATCCCTGGATCCTGAGTGCATCCGATGATCAGACCATAAGGATTTGGAACTGGCAGAGTAGGACCTGTATCTGCGTCCTGACTGGTCACAATCATTATGTCATGTGCGCTCAATTTCATCCGTCTGAAGATATAATAGTCTCAGCGTCCTTGGACCAGACGGTACGGGTTTGGGATATTTCTGGTCTGCGCAAGAAGAACGTTGCACCAGGTCCAGGTGGTCTTGAAGATCATCTTAAAAACCCTGGTGCCACTGACCTTTTTGGTCAGGCAGATGCAGTTGTCAAGCATGTCTTGGAGGGTCATGATAGGGGCGTTAATTGGGCTTGTTTCCATCCTACATTACCACTGATTGTGTCAGGTGCTGATGATCGTCAGATAAAAATGTGGCGGATGAATGACGCCAAGGCTTGGGAAGTTGACACTTGCCGTGGCCACTACAATAACGTCTCTTGCGTTCTGTTTCATCCGAGACAAGATATTATACTGTCAAACTCTGAAGATAAGAGCATCCGGGTCTGGGACATGACCAAGAGGACTTGCCTGCACACATTCCGCAGGGAACATGAGAGATTCTGGGTCTTGGCCGCACATCCTACATTGAATCTCTTTGCGGCTGGTCACGATTCTGGAATGATTATATTCAAATTGGAACGTGAGAGACCGGCTTACGCGATCTATGGGAATCTACTGTACTATGTCAAGGATCGATTTCTGCGCAAGCTTGATTTCACCACCTCTAAGGATACCTCAGTGATGCAAATCAGAGGAGGCGGGAAGACACCAGCCTACAGCATGTCCTACAATCAGGCTGAAAATGCTGTACTCATCTGCACGAGGTCAGCATCCAATATAGAGAACAGTACTTACGACCTCTATATGATCCCACGGGATGGTGATTCCAATACTGATCCAGAGACCAAGAGAGCCTCTGGTGTTACTGCCATTTGGGTTGCTAGAAACCGGTTTGCCGTCCTCGATAGAGCTTATTCTGTGAGTTTATCAAGTTCGTAGATGAGCTTGCTTCATCATATTGATCAATCTTGTGTTAACCTAGTTCCTTTGATTCCTTTGTTTCAGCTGGTGATAAAGAACCTTAAAAACGAGGTCACAAAGAAAGTTCAGATTCCAAATTGTGATGAAATCTTCTATGCTGGAACTGGTATGCTACTTCTAAGGGATGCAGACCAGGTTACTTTGTTTGATGTTCAGCAAAAGAGAACCTTAGCGGAAGTGAAGATCTCCAAGTGCCGCTATGTAGTTTGGGCCAATGACATGTCGCATGTTGCGCTACTAGCTAAACACACAGTAAATATTTGTAATCGTCGCTTGGAGTCACTATGCTCGATTCACGAAAATACTAGGGTCAAGTCTGGTGCCTGGGATGACTCTGGTGTGTTCATCTACACTACGAGCAACCATATAAAGTACGCTATAGATAATGGTGATCATGGTATCATTAGGACCTTGGATCTGCCAATCTACATAACTAAAGTTAAGGGAAACCAGGTTTACTGTCTTGATCGCGAGTGTCGACCCAGGATTTTGAGAATTGATCCCACCGAGTACAAATTTAAATTGGCGCTTATCAACCGGAAGTACGAGGAAGTGTTGCACATGGTGCGCAGCGCCAACTTGGTGGGGCAATCCATCATTGCTTATCTACAGCAGAAAGGATATCCAGAGGTAGCGCTGCACTTTGTCAAAGATGAGAAAACGAAATTTGGACTCGCTCTGGAGTGTGGTAATATCGAGGTAGCTTTAGAAGCTGCGCGTACCCTGGATCAGAAAGCTTGTTGGGAGAGTCTGGCACAGGCAGCTCTTCTGCAGGGAAATCACCAGGTTGTCGAGATGTGTTACCAGAGAACAAAGAACTTTGAAAAATTGGCATTCCTTTATCTTATCACTGGAAACTTGGATAAGCTGAAGAAGATGACGAAGATTGCTGAGATACGAAAGGATGTATCTGGGCAGTACCAGGGAAGTCTACTTCTGGGAGATATCTATGAACGCGCCAGGATTCTCAAGGTGAGACATTTCGTCAGATTTAATTTTAAAAAAAATTCATATAAAATATAATACTGTTTAACTTTCATTTTTCAATTTTAAAATAGAACTCTGGTCAGACATCCTTAGCCTACGTAACCGAGAAGATCCATGGAATATGCAACGAGGATGATGATTCTTTGTACGAGTCGATGGGCGAAGAACTCTCAGAGATGGTGGATGGCGCCACGCATCTGCGACCACCAATTCCTGTTCAGCAAGTAGAGATTAACTGGCCTCTACTGACAGTATCCAAAGGATTCTTCGAGGGAGCTATGATGTCTCGTGGCAAGAGTCAGGTAGCAGCTGCACTGGCACCAGAGGAGGACACAGGTCCAGTCGAAGGCTGGGGCAACGATGACGAGTTGGGAATTGACGACGAGGAAGGCAATGAGGCAGGACCACCTGGTGCGGACGGTGAAGAGACTGCAGGATGGGACGTAGAGGACCTGGATTTGCCACCGGAATTGGAAAATGTGGTGGCCCCAACAGAAGATGGTTACTACTCGCCACCCACTAAGGGAATCCCACCCTCTCAACACTGGATGAATAATTCCCAACTGGCTGTGGATCACATACTCGCTGGATCATTCGAATCTGCATTCCGGTTGTTGAATGATCAAGTCGGAGTCATTGAATTTGAAGCTTATCAGACTCTATTCTTGTCGACCTTTGCTAGGGCGCGTACTTCCTTTGCATCCTTACCTAGTATTCCTTCACTTTATGCATATCCACAGAGAAATTGGAAGGAAGCCACTCCAAAGAATGGTCTACCTGCTGTCGGATTGAGACTCTCCGATCTAGTTCAGAGACTCCAGGTGTGCTACCAGTTAACGACGGGTGGTAAATTCGTGGAAGCCATTGAGAAACTTCAAGCAATACTTCTTAGTGTGCCATTGTTGGTTGTTGACACTCGACAAGACATTGCAGAGGCTCAGCAACTTATACAGATCTGCAGAGAGTACATTTTAGGTTTAAAGATGGAGACTGACAGAAAAAATCTGCCTAAAGCAACATTGGCAGAACAAAAAAGAATCTGTGAAATGGCTGCATACTTTACACACTGCAATCTTCAACCAGTTCATCAAATTCTCACATTGAGGACAGCAGTTAACATGTTTTTTAAGCTGAAAAATTACAAAACCGCAGCTTCCTTTGCTAGAAGATTACTGGAGTTGGGACCTAGAGCAGAGGTTGCTCAGCAGGTTCGAAAGATTTTACAGGTCAGTCTTAAAATACATCAGTTTCTCTATTACTACAATTACGTATTATTGAACTTTAATGATGTAATTTTTTTTTATAGGCGTGCGATAAGAGTCCTGTCGATGAACATCAATTGCTATACGACGAACATAATCCGTTCTCATTATGTGCCGGAACATATACTCCAATTTACAGAGGTAAACCAGAAGTGAAGTGTCCACTCTGCGGTGCCAGCTACCAGCCCCAATTTAAAGAATCAATTTGTAAAGTATGCGAAGTGGCTCAAGTCGGCAAAGAATGCATTGGACTGAGAATAAGTTCCTTGCAATTCCGGTAATTCCATAACACTACAGAGTGAAAAAAAAATCGAATAAAAGTACAGACAAATGTCGCGAAAGTGAATGTTTTACGCAGTATTGACTGTTTTAAAGATAATAGGGTATTTTGAAAATATCAATAGACAATTTCTATTAAATATAATAGTATGTGAAAAGAAAAAAATCAATAGAAATTGTAATACTTTTATCACCCATATTAATGTTCCAAAGTGGTATATAAAGCCTTATAAGGGTTATAATTTTCAAATATACAATTTCTTATATACGAAACGTCCTGTATTACACATGAATTTCTTGCGTTTCCTCTTTCACAGAAATGTTTTCTCTATCGGTAAACCTGTCATTTTTTCTCAAATCTAGTAATTTTAAGAAAAGAGCAACTGGTCTAGGGGTTTTGTCCACTACTCTTTGTTCACGAAAGTCCCTAGAGTTCAACGACGGTTGGCAGCGTCCGGTTGTTACCGACGCAAGTTGTGTGCAATGGTGGATGCGGATTGTGGAGGCCGCTTGTGCGTGCCGTCAAACTGCTGATCAAGAAGCCGCGCTTTTTCCCAATAATTATCGCGACAGTGTGAGATCATAAAAAGCCAGTGTGAGAGCAATCAAAATAGCAAGTTACGCGAAGTGTTATAGGCGCCGCGAAGCGTCGGGACGCCACGAATCCCGTATTTCGCGCATTTGACACGGGAACGAGTTGCCGCGAAAGCCGCCACGGGCACGACTAACCTGCCCCAAACAAAACGTTCATCGTCCCGGGTAAAAAAACGTGATAATTTATAATAATATATCACCAAGTGTGTAAATCGAAAAAAAGTTGAATTTTAGCCTCCTGGTAGAGTAAGTACCAGGGCGGTAAACATCACCAGAGTAAATAACAGCCAGTGCTTTGGTGTGCGTGAACCGAAAAAAAATACAGACATTATCATAGAATCCTGGTAAAAGAAAGCCTGAAATAATATCCATCACCAGCCTCAACCACAAGGAATAGAGTACCTCTTACTCGCTAGGTTAGATCCTCTGGTGAATTTGAAGATCCACCTCAGAAAGTCTCTTGGTTGAAGCATATTATATTGCCCGGCAAGGTTTTTCAACTCAAGCTATATCACAACGTTTCTATAGTTCTTGCAATTCCAGAGGATAGTTTAACGAGAGTGAGTCTAACGTGGTTCCGTTATTTATCACGTATTTCCGAGTAAAACAACTAGAACGATCAAACTAGGCGGACTATCATATCTAGAGGGAGGTTCGTGCTCTAAGGGTAACACGCCAGTGTGTTGTGTATGTAGAGGCGGCATGAAAAAATGATGTGATCGACGGTCATCATCATGGCGGCACCCATGTTAAAGTGGAAGCGGATCACAAATCCGACCGGGCCCCAGCCTAGACCGCGCCATGGGCACCGGGCGGTAGCTATTAAAGACCTTATGGTCGTGTTCGGCGGTGGTAACGAGGGAATCGTCGACGAACTCCATGTCTACAATACTGGTGAGAATCGTTCTGAGCATCCTTTTTCTCTGTATAGAGTGCGTCTTTCGATGCGCGCCGTTCCGCGAGCGATTCCCGCGATCCAATATGGCGACATACGTTGACAAGAACGGTCACCGGCCGGACTCGATTTTCATTCGTGACGTCACTAGTGTGATCGCCATTTTTTTCTTAGATCGTAATTACGCTCATGTCAGCATTCCTGGAATTTCATTCCCGTACGGTATTTACGATACATTCTGAAACTCAATGGCTACTCCTCTTCTATGCTATCTATGACATTCTGGGTGTTTGTACGCGCGGGAGCAGCCATCTTTGTGCGCCTTCCCCCACTACGAAGTTTCGGCGACGCGTTTTCTTATCGTTCCACGTTCGCGCTTCCCTTTTCTCTTTCGTCCTTTTCTCCACGTTCGCCAACATTTATGCTTATATCTCAAATAATGTTACCAGATATGTAGTACGCGACGGTTAAAAATACCCTAGGATTTTTGGGGATTTTTTGGGATGACACTTTTTCCCTAGAGACATTCTTTCGTTTGGGGGCGTGTTAGGAATAATTTATCTACGCATGCGTGACTTTTTCGCGCCCTCGAAGCCGCCGCGCCTATTGTTTTTAAACTCTATGTGATTAGCAACACCAAGCTGTTTTTTGGTTTCATACTAATTATTATAATATGAGAAGAAAGCAGCCTTTTAAACTTTTCTTTGCAGTATTGTTATTTTGTAATGTCTCTTATGATGTAGATTTGAAACTGACGAAAAAAAAAAGATAGAGTTCATGAAAAGTTAGAAAATCGATGGAGACTTTAATTTATTATTTAAACATATGATAACATTTTATCCTTTGACAGATAATATTTTCAAATCCTGATTAGCGCTAAATGTATATTTACACAAGACTCAGCGCTTTTCCTGTTTTATACAGGGTTGTCCAATTGAAATGCGCTAGTCAATTTAGTTGTAGACAAAGGCTTGGAACTTGTGATTCAGTAGCAACATTACAAAGGCAAGATTTTTCTTGCGTTTAGTTGGAAATTGTTGGAAAACAGTGCTCACGACACGATAGCTATTACATGTGATGATAAGTTCGTTCTGAATAGCACTATATACAGCTGGAGATGCCATGTATTATTCAGTACTATCTTCATTTCGATTGTAAATAAGGGAAATTTTGCGCTTACCTATGCATTAAACTTATCCATTCAATTTCCATGAGGGAAAATCAGATTTTAGAACTGAAACTCTATATCACATAGATTGAACAAAACCAACAGTGTTCTTAATTCCTATTTGTTTTTTCTTTGATGTTTTAGCAACCAACCAGTGGTTTGTCCCTTCTACAAAAGGTGACATTCCACCAGGATGTGCTGCCTATGGCTTTGTGGTGGATGGAACAAGAATCCTTGTTTTTGGTGGGATGGTGGAATATGGCAAATATTCAAATGAGTTATACGAACTCCAGGCAAGCCGCTGGGAGTGGAAAAGGCTGAAACCCAAACCACCAAAGCATGACCAGCCACCATGTCCAAGGCTTGGGCACAGTTTTACACTTATTGGCAACAGGGTATTCCTTTTTGGAGGATTGGCTAATGACAGCGATGACCCAAAAAATAATATACCAAGATATCTAAATGACCTCTACACCTTGGAGCTTCAACCAAATGGTGTGACAGTATGGGATGTACCACAGACTCATGGGCATGCACCTCCCCCTCGTGAATCCCACACTGGAGTAGCGTACACAGACCGCACCACAGGAAAATCCTGTTTAGTCATCTACGGAGGGATGAGTGGATGCAGACTGGGTGACCTATGGTTCCTTGACGTAGACTCTATGACTTGGAATAAACCTGTGGTCCATGGGCCAACACCACTGCCACGTTCTTTGCACACTGCCACTTTGATTGGTCACAGAATGTACGTCTTTGGTGGTTGGGTACCTCTTGTGGTCGATGAGGTGAAGGTGGCCACACATGAAAAGGAGTGGAAGTGCACCAGTACCTTGGCTTGCTTGAATTTAGGTACAGTACCATTAAGTGTAAGGTGTCTGAGTTATTATTTAATTGTTATTTTAATTTAGAAACACTGACGTGGGAGCAATTGACTGTCGACTCCATGGAGGAAAATGTACCACGAGCTAGAGCCGGCCACTGTGCCGTAGGTGTGCACAGTAGACTTTACGTATGGTCCGGTAGGGATGGATATCGCAAGGCTTGGAATAATCAGGTTAGTTACAGTTCTTTAAAAATTTCTATACGAAATTTCAATACAGAAATTTTAAATACATCCGATCTATTTTCTGTGTAAGGTTTGCTGTAAGGATTTGTGGTATCTCGAAGTAAGCAAACCACCAGCACCTTCGAGGGTACAGCTGGTACGAGCATCCACACAGTCTCTGGAAGTCAGTTGGACGGCTACACCATCGGCGCAGTACTACATACTCCAGATACAGAAATATGACAAAGCACCTGCAACAGGAACCTTCCCTGCAGCCGCAGCACCAGCACCAGTTCCTCCAGCACCAGCAGTTGCAGTACCAGCACCTATTCCCGTTCCAGTTTCCACGGCGCCTTTATCTACCTTAGCACCACTTCCATCGGCACCGACTGTTGTGAGGGCAACAATTGCCCAGACTCCTGTTAGGATACAAACAACTGTTCAGAGTCCTGTACAGAAGCCAGTTGTACCAACACCAGCTGTGCCGAAAGCTGCAAGTCCTATGACTCCTAGGGTAGCAGGGAACCTCATAAGAATCAGGTCACCTTTGGTTACGTCAGTGGCATCTACAACGGACCAAACACCATCTCCATCTAGCACAACAACAGCTGGACAATCACAGTCACCCATGTCCGGCATAGCTGCACTCGCAGCTGCAGCTGCGGCCACTCCCAAGATCAGTATGAACAATGTGCCCATATTACCCCAGGCAGCGGGTAACACTATAAGGATGAAGAACATGCAACCCGGACAGCAAATACGTTTTGCTGCACCACCAGGTGCAACAGTTCTTCGCACAGCTTCGCCTCAACAAAGTAAGCAGATCATACTTCAAAAACCTGGACAGAATATATCCGGCCAGCCTCAGATAGTTCACCTTCTGAAGACCGGTCAAGGTATGGTAGCAACTGTGCCTAAGGTCAGCTTGATACCAGGAAAAACCGTTCAGACTGCAGGTGCGAAACCCTTGAACCAAGGTCCTACGATATTGCGACTGGTGAATCCTAACACAGTGGCAGGTTCTAAGATCCTGACCACGATGAAGACGTCCAGTATAGTAGCTATGAGTAAAGGGCAGAGTATTACCGGAAAACAGACGATAATGATAACGAAACCAGGTGGCAATGGAGGATTGGTTGGTAGAACTAATCAAATTATAGTAGTGACAACAGGCTCAGGCTTGAGAGCAGTTCAGGCTGTAACGACTTCGCAGGCTGGTGCGGGTCAGGGTGGTAACCTGACGACTCCAGTTAATGTGTTGCCACTATCAGCAACAAATCATGTAACGAATCAGCAGGGAGTTAAGATGATCGTGGTGTCTTCTGGTGCTATGGCTGGCGGTACTGCTGGTAAACCTATAACGATTACAGTCCCTGGCCAGGGTGGCGTACCAAAGACAGTGACAATTGCTACAAAAGGAAGTCAACAGGCCATTTTTAATCCTGGCAAGAGTCAAATAATGACTGTACCTCAGATGCAAAAGGCACCTGAATCCATGACGGTGGCCGGAAAACCGGTTACCTTACAGATGTCTGGTGGAATTGGCCCTAAAACGGTGACCTTGATGCCATCGAGTAGCTCCATAGTGACGACGGCTGGAACGTCTGATTCCATTGACACCAGTAAAATGATATTCGTACCGTCGCAGAAGCAGCCGTCAGCATCCTTAGCATCGACGTCAGATGGACCCGCAACAACGGACGCTGCTCTGGCTGCCCTAGCAGCCGAGGCTGGACTAATAGATCCTGTACAGGAATCCTCCGGAGGGTTATCTTTTATGGTGGCAGCGGATGATCCTTCTGGAGCTGATGGTAAAGGGGATAGTTGCAATGGAAACGAAGCGGCAACTGCTGCTGCACTAGTCTCCCAGTTGGGAGCAGGGGAACCAATGCAGGTCGATAGCGATGGAAACTTCATTATTCCTCAGGTTGACGGACCTGGAGACTTTCTTTTGTCCGGAGATGAGAACGAGGATTTCGATGACGATCCTCCTCTGGATGAGACAGCGGAATCTCCTCAGGTTGATGTTTCTGGAGATATGGAAGAGGACGTGGGACCCTCTACCATGGAGGATGATATACACATAGAAGAATCTAAAGAGTCGGATAATAATGACGTTGCACAAGCTCCAGAGGTAGACACATCCACTGAGGAACTTCCTGTAGAATCGGAGGGAGCTGCGGAACCAGAATTGGCAACTAGTGAATTAAACACAGAAGCTACCAGCGAGCCGGAGCCACCTAGCGAGAGTGACATGCAAATAGTTAGTACTCCTTCGTCAGGGGACGCTTCCGTTAAATCAGAGTTATCTACGCAACCTGCACAGGAAGCTACGGTAGATCAGAATGCAGTAGTATCGGAAGCGATAGAACCTTCAGAGGAATCGGAACATTTGCATGATGATCAAGGAGGCATTACAATGGATTCTTTGGGGGATGAAAAATCACCCAGTAGCACACATGATCCTATAGAAAATCCTGCGTCTCAGGAATCTCAGACGTCTCAAGATGACACTGAAGTAGACGAAAAAAGTGACGGTGAATTAGAGGAACCAGAACTCCCTAAAGACACTTTAGGATTAGAGGATGAAAAGCCGGAAGACGATGAACCAATGCTGGATGCATCGTTAAACCAATCGGAAGACGCTATATCTGCTTTACCATCAGTTGCGGCATCATCAATCAAAACGGACGATCAAAATGAACCCATGGACCAGGACAAGGAAACACTTCCAGCTACGAATGGTGTCGCCAGTGTGGAAAAGGATCTGGAATCTTCCAAAAATGTAAAACAGATCATATCCCAGGATATTAAAAAAGAGAATGAGGAAATAAAACGCGAGAAGGACAATGATACAAGACCGGAAGGTGGTGACGACTCCACTGCTTTGACGACATTAGCGACAGCAGCGCTGGGATCTGCCGAACAGCCAGTTAAAATAAAAGCAGAACAGGTAATTGCGTGCATTTCTTCAATTAAACAAGATACTTTTTGATTACAATTAATTAATTTATTTGATTGATTTTATTCTAGACCGAAGAAGAGAAAAAGGACATGGAATGGTATGACGTTGGAATAACGAAAGGAACCACATTCACAGTACAGCATTATTATCTTCCTGGAGAAGAGCCATTAGACGTAACACAGCCCTTACCCGCTGATGTCTTTAAGGGCAGGACCAAGATAGTTTTGGAACCCGGTACCGCCTATAAATTCCGAGTTGCAGCTGTGAACAGTTGTGGTAGAAGTGCCTGGAGCGAGGTACATCCAATCAAAGATATTATACAATTAATAAATATATTAAACATAAGACACTAAAATAAATTCTTCGTCTCTGTTGTAGCTCTCAGCGTTCAAGACGTGTCTGCCCGGATTTCCGGGTGCGCCGAGCGCTATAAAAATATCAAAGTCTGCGGAAGGTGCCCAATTATCCTGGGAACCACCACCGAGTAATCTAGGGCCCATCCTCGAATACTCGGTATACCTGGCAGTGCGTAGTGCTAGTGCGGTGTCGAACAGTGCCGGAGAGGCGACAACAGTAGCAACGACGCCGACGCAACTGGCTTTCATTAAAGTTTACTGTGGTCCCACGAATGCCTGTTCGGTGTCAAACAATTCACTGAGTGCTGCTCACGTGGATGTCACAACGAAACCAGCCATTATATTTAGAATAGCTGCACGAAACGACAAAGGTTATGGACCAGCGACTCAAGTCAGGTGGTTGCAAGGTAAGGATACCCAAAGTGATTACTGTAAAAATTCAGCAGTCCACGTAAGGATGATGCTGCGGATACTTGCAATGATAACAGTTGTTTTTAATTTCTATCTTTTTTAATTTCAGATCCCACTACAGCCGTTAAGGCTAACCCACAAGTTAAGAGACCAGGAACAGATGTGCGTTCGCAAGCGAACTCACCTCAGAAGAAAGTGAAGCCGGAAACCGCAGATAATTTTTCGTGAACGGTTCGGTCAAGTGGTTCTCGAACACCGAACGAGGGCCAGAAATCATCATCATCCCTCGGGAGAGCAGCCCCACGTAACTCATAAAGAAATTGTACTTTAAAGAAAGAGAGTTAAAATAATGCGACAAAGGGAGAGAAAAAAATAAGAGAAGAACGAATATATCAGAGTGATGAACACGGTGGGAATTATAAATATATTCAAGGAGAGAATGATATGGGACGAGGAGAGTTCTTTTTAGCGAATGGAAAAGTCTAAAGGGAAAATATGAAAATTTTCATTTTATGAATATTATTAAATAATTGTGAGGGATAAGAAATCGAGAAGGGGTCACGTGATGTCCATAGGTCTCATTGGACCGCATATGCGCCTTTTCTCTGTTTCGCGCATTATTTTCTTCTTTACTCTGTAGAGCCTCAAGCCAGCTATAAGAGAATTCATATGTCGTTTAATAAAAACAGCTAAGAAAGTTAATTATACACTTGGTGTCGAGTGAATTTTTCAAATTTTACATTGTGCTCTTTTAATTTCTCTATTTTTTTTTTCTTTAGCCTTCTCTTATTTCTTGTTATGATAATATTACTAGTAATACTAACAACGTAACGACCACCGACAATTACGTGGGAAACACATATCTGAAGAATCCTTTTCTTTGATTGATCACGCGTAGACGATACAATATTTATATTGTGAATAATAAGAACTAAAGAAACAAAACAAAACCTAACAAAAAAATGAGGAAGGAACGAGTAACAGCATCGAATATTATTTAACCCTGGGAAATAAACTGGGAGAGGTGTGATGATTATTTATATTTATAAAACACGATAAGGTGCTACTCTCGATTTATGGTTGAAACTTCATTACTGCAAATTGTCGGGGAGAAATGCGCTTTTCTTGTTCTTCGGGGTTTCTTCTTGTTCTCAGCAAAGGGTTTGTGACAACACGAAATCTTGCATTGCTACAGTATCTACGTTAATTATGAGTGTAATGCGTTTGGTAATGTAAACAGTCAAAAAGTTTCTGCCTATTGATTAATTTTCCCTTTTTGGCTACATTATTTCGAGGATGACTTATCAATGTAATTTAAAGTCCAAATAGAGAGGAAGGATGATCCAAGTGCCTGGGGTTGGAAAGAATCCTTAAAATTTCAAAAGACCAATATGCGAAACTCGCCTTCAAGGCAGTAATGAGACTGAAAAACATGATCCTTTTATTTAGGGTATTCCAGTAAAATGAAAGGCTTGTATTTTTCATTTTAAAAAACCAGGGAATCGGGATTGTCGCCGACTAGTATTTGATACAGTCCTGTCCTATCTTTTTAAACAACGTATTTTAAAACATATTTCTCTCTCTCGTTAACGTCGATCGCAAAAGTTTTACTTTTCTCCTGTTTGGAAGCCAACAGATATGCACGACAAAAGAGGATCAACCATTTAGGTTCCCTATAAAAAGGATGTATCCAGATATTCGCACGTTAGTCATTTCTAACGGTTTTTAGTGATTCTGAGCACAATTTCCTTAAAAGCAAAGTAGGTTTGATGGCTTTTTTAATATGACAAAATATTAAAGGTTCGGGAGACGTACAAGGTTCGTGCTTAACAAAAGAAAATGAAGAAACAAAAACGGAATAATCAAGTATCCCCAGTATTTCAATCAGTGTTTGTTAATTGCAAAATCATTATTTTAGCTTTTCTCTTTCTTTCGATTCCTTTTTTGTTTCTTTATCCATCCTCCTTGAATCGTCGAATTTGTAAATAGATGAACGTGTGTGACACGTTCATCGTCCGAACGTGAGCGATAGATTATTTTTCAAATCTATCGGAATTTTTATATAAAAGAAAAGCTAAAAAAGTAAAATAAAACAGAAGCGTTAAGAGAGCCCGTAGAGACGTATGAAGTAGTAGATGGGATACATATGAAAAGACTGGATGATGTGGCGCGTGTCTATGAAAAGATAAATGAAGGGCAAAAAGAGTAAAAAAGCGACACGTAATTTCAAATTCAGTGAGTTGAATATGCGAATGGATATTGTACGTGTAAATCAGAGCTGAACAAGAAGTGTAGAGAGAGACAAAGCTGTATATCTACAAATTATTCCTTAAATAGATACGTGTAGGTATTAAGACTCAAATGGGATATAATTGAGGAATGATCAATCACGATACTGGACCCGCGTTAGTGATGAAATAGGGAATCGAGGATCATGATGAGGACACAAGTGGCTGGCTGATAGAAGATGATATACGGAGGAGATAAATGATCCCGAATAAATATTAAATTTATTATATATTTTATTTTCGTTTAAGAATAGAGCACAGGATTATTATGTGAAACATAGAATGAAAATACCTAAGGCAAGAGAGTAACTACAAACAAATAATAAAAGAAAGATACAATGGTGACAACAGTAACGACGAGGAGAACAAGCTAATGGAAATAATGAAAGAACACTTATTAATGGCAATGTCAAGTGGTGGGGACCCCTGATATACTTTTTGTTCTTGTTCCCTCTTCTATGCGATTTTTTTTTATTACTATCATAGGGTGCTTATCTCGTTCATTCACGTCCCCTTCTATATGTCCAATAATTGTGTTTAAAAAGTGCAAGTTTCATCTTCTAATGTTTTGAGCTAGAACGAACTTTTGTGTAAACTTTCTGTAATATTGATTTCACTCAACAATGAAACAATCCCATGGGAGTGATAATCTGTTCTTTGATTTTCCTTAACGTTCTCAATGTCCGCTTCTTTCTCCTGTCTTTTTTCTCTCCCCATAAGATCTGGATAAAAAAGAAAATTTAATTGGAGCGTCAAGATTAACCCTTTGCGATCGGCATATTTCTTTGTTGGGACTACCAGCTAGTCGGAGAAAAGGCCGCGGCTAAGGCGACACCGATCGCAAAGGGGTAAGAAGCATTTTCCCTTGTTTAACTTACAGTGTGTAACTGCTATACTTTTCACTCTAACTATAAATTCTCTTCGATGGTACAGTGTTAGGTATATATATATATATATATTATATATTATTATAATAAAGAGAAACAAAATAAATGTGTCTTTTGTATGTACGAATTTATTAGACATCGCCTTCCCATTTATTTTTTTACTAGATAACTTTATACATATAATTATATTATTAGTAGTTGAAAAGTAGAAACCTCCTTGCATAGTACTAACTGAATATTGATTATCTAAATAGCCAGGCTGACCTAATAGGATGCACCGTAACATTGGAAACCGCTTCAGGTGGGCTGGTTTTGATAATAATCAGTAGCAATCAGTAGTTTTGACAGATCTGTACGCTCACATACACGAACGTAAACACATGTGTGAGTAATATATGTATTCCCGGTTTTTCAGCACGCGGTAATTTCTGATTGGAGCTTGTTCAACGCATGCTCGTAACCAAGTAGTTAGATTGGCCAGGAAACATGACGCACCGGTGCATGGGAAGGAGCAGGGAGGAACGACCTCGCAGTATACAAATTTATTATTTAGCTCCGCCAGTGATAACAGTTTAATGCACACCGTGATTGCGAACGGTCGCATCTGCCGCAACTACTGCCAGTAGAATATCTAAGTACTCTGTTACAACTTGTCATATAATATGGCAAAAATACTCGCAATCATTCTTAACCTCTACATAATATTTAGTAGCATCTATGGTGTTTACTCAACGGATTTAGGCAACGTGGACGAATTAAAATCTGTAGAACTTCCGCCTTGTGCTGCGTGTAAAGTAGTTGTCGACAGTTTTAAGAAGGTAATACTATCTTAAACGATTCAATGATTATTGTTTGTCAGTATAGGTTAGTTTTAAGTGATGATCACTGTGGTATATTCTTGCATGCTGGTGTAACAGATGTCTAACTACGTAATTTTTTTCTATTGACCATTTATTTTATTTTATTAGGGACTTGATAATACCAGCCGTGGCAAATTTGAAGGGGGTGACAGTGCTTGGGAGGCTGAGAAAGGTCCTTATGCTAAAAGTGAAGTTCGCTTAACAGAGATTCAGGAAGGTCTTTGTAAGGAAGTAAAGGAAGGTCAGAAACAATGTCATGCTTTGGCAGCTGAATCAGAGCAAATGATAGAAGAGTGGTGGTTTCGTCATCAAAATAGAAAAGATCTGTTTAGATTCCTGTGTATAGAAAAGACAAAGCGTTGCTGTCCAGAGAATCATTATGGTCCACAATGCATACCCTGTGCAGGGTATCCAAATAATATCTGCAATAAAAATGGTAAATGTAAGGGTGCTGGTACTAGAAAGGGAAATGGTCAATGTCAGTGTGACCAGGGTTATTCTGGTGAAGATTGCTCAAAGTGTGCTCCAGGACATTATGAGTCCTATAGAGATGGCCGCATTGTTCTATGTTCATTCTGTCATTCTGCCTGTGATGGCTCTTGCAAAGGACCTGGTCCCAGAGACTGTGAGAAATGTGCCAAAGGATGGCAATTTTTAGAGGGACAAGGATGCTTGGATATTAATGAATGTGTTCTTGGTAAAAAAAACTGTCCTGGAAATCAATTCTGTGTGAATAAGGAAGGAGGCTATTCATGTTTGAGTAAGTTTCTGTTCTTAATATTTCGTAATTTAGTAATACAGCTATTGATTCAATCCTTTTATTACAGAATGTGATAGAGCCTGCAATGGATGCCATGGTGATGGACCAGATATGTGCTTTAAATGTGCAATTGGATATAAAAAAAAGGGCTCCATGTGTGTTAGTAAGTAGGGAAAAAATGTTATAAAAATTACAATCAGTGCATGAAATTACTGTAAAAATGTTTGTTTCTCAGATATCGAAGCTTTAGGACGTCAGAAGCAGGAAAACGTAACGCGGTATGCAACCTATCTAGGACTGTGCATCTCCACCTGCATTATTTTGCAGCGCAACATCGTCATGGCAGGTGCTATTGGAATTGTAGTTTCCATATATATAACCCTTTCGGAATACATGATATCCAACATCCATCTCTATGACAACTCACCAAACGTAGAAGATTTCGTAAGTCCAGCTGCCTAAATGGCAAAAAGGATTAAATCAACATTATCACTAACTTAAGTATAATCATCATAATTCGATGTGCGGGCCTCCATATATTATTGTGAGCCGCTGACTGTTAACTGATAAGAGGTCGTGCGCTGCATTTTCAAATCCAACAACTTATAAACACTGCCGCGACATTATGTGTATGTGTGTTTTAAAGCTCTATAGAAATATATGGAACAAGTATACGTATCCCGAATTTTAGAAAGCCCGCAGGATACTGTATTACTGCGCAAATAACAGCAAAATGCATTGGGCACCTCTTCACTTTTACCTGTCTAAAAATCTAAGAGTTACAATAATCAAAATATGAATTTGTAGGCATTTTTATATTGTATTCCAGTTTTTCGATTTCTATTTAAAAAACAGCTATTGTGCCAATTTTCATGCTTACAAATTCTCACGGATTTTTGTTGTATATTTGTTGCTCTGCCTGACGGCTGAATGGAGTAACGTAAATAGTGAAAAGTTTGTTATTTTAACTAGGAAAATTTTACTATAGATATAGACATTTTATGACTGTTTCCCATCGTGTCATTGTTGGCTGTTGTAATCGTTGTGATTCAGATATTCAAACGCACTGCATCAGATAGAATATTATACTCTTAATGAAATAATTTAATGAATTATATCGCACCAACATTATTCTAGTCTAGCAAGACTGCGAAGCTGTAAGCAAAGATGTAATCATTGTTTTGAATAAATTTCTAGCAATCGCAGCTAATTAATACGTCTCATTACTAGACCCATCCACCTGATCCAAGCGCAGTTTCCAAGATCCATAATTAAGTTACTCCTAGAGAAGTTGTCATTTTACAAACAAACTAGTAACCAACTCCATCCCATCCCACCGATCAAAATGAAATGTAGTAAAAAGAGAAGTCGACTGTAAAGGAATACGGCAACTTTGTCCTCTCCCTTATCAAGGGGTGCGATAGAAAATTCCTTTTATTTCCTAGTAACATAAAACCCCATTTTTTCCATCCCCCAGGTATTATTTCTCTACCTATCCCCACCTTAACATAGAATTAGCGCTTAGTTCCATTTGGTAAAGTTTAGGGGCGAAAATCGTACCGAATACTTTTGTCACGCATTGAAAATCCTTCCTCGTCGTTACTACCCCTATAGTCACCATCCACCGTCACCACCCCTGGAGATATTACCCGCTTCCCTCCCAGTCATTGCGTTCTGTCAGTTTTGGTTCTCTCGCTGGGAGATATTACGCCGATAGGGGTTCGCCCCGGGGAGGAGTAAGGCTTCAATAGGATTTTCAGCTTTTTCATTTTTTAAGGGGGTGTGCTGCAGCCCTCATGCAGCCGTTCGTCTATGCACCTAGGTGATCCCGTGCTCGCATTTTTCTACAGAGAAAAATAGGGCTTGTGGGGACCCTTTTTTCTTTCATTTCCTTTTCCCGAAAACGGGGTTAATATTAGGTAGCTCAAGCGGGCCAATTGAACCGTAAAAAAGGGCGTGAGTCTCGTACCACCTCCCGTCCTCCGAGGGCTGTCGATGGTGCATACATTTTTTTAACGGATCTTTTTCCAACCGTCTTACGTCACGGTATAGTCAATGACAGCCCGTGAAATGTCATCGATTATTCCACATCCCCACGAATTGTCGGGAATTTTTGCTCAACACCTTGCAACCCCTAAAAAAAGTAAAAAAAAGGAAAAAGCTCGTACTCAAATTCGATATTTTCAACCCTTGTTTCATATTCCCACCCGTAACTGGTCAGCGCTTACATAATCCATAAATTCTATATGTTCTATACATTGTTCTACATATTGTATTGTTCTGCATTTTCTATAGTCTCGTGTACTAATTACGCGTAAATTTGGCGAGGCTCATATTTTGAAACGTTTATTTTTAGACACGACCGGGATGGGATCCCTCTTGTTCCTATACATTATGCGCATATCGGGGATGGATTTATTTCGGCATATCGAATTATCCTGAATTCCTCCCTTACGTACTCGTACTACCCTTCGGTAGCAACAGCAGCAACACTGTTACTGTCGCTTGGTTATAACAGGAAAAGGGAGCTAAAAGGAAATTCGATTCTCGGCTACAATTAATTACGGAATTCCGGTTTGATATCTCATAATTAGAATATTCGCTTTGAAATGGTGTCGTAGGTCGGGCAATTAATGTTTACGGAATATCAACAAAAAAGAAAGTTTTAGGTGAAAAATTGGCGTAGCAAACAAAATCAGCAGGATATTCTCATTGCAAAGTTTTGCGTCGCAGCTATTGTGAATAATTTTACTAACAATTCGCAAAATTATATTTCTCTCTAATTAGTATAGTTACGAGCGCACCTAATGATATTCGAAAAGTTTATGTTTCCAGATAAAATATTTCTCAAATGCAGAATAGCTCCGCATCGAACGGAATTCGAATTTGGCTCGGCGCAGAGATATATTCGTAATACAGGTGGGCTGTCAACAAACACAATGTTGAATCCGGCCGTGTGTAAACGGCGCTGATGGGCTGCATCGGATAACTTGATAGACAGGGCTGGAAGGGCTGTGATTCCGGAATTAATAATAGCCCGGATATGGCTGCTCCTGGAAATGGCATAGTTACCTACGTACCTACCACCACAGCTCAAAAATATAGCCCGGGCGCGCAAGGTGGTTGCCAGGGATACCGGATGCTGCACCGGTGCTTGTCGAAGATACCTATATCTCGGAGATCATAAATCGGATAACGGATGCTGAACTCTCACCTGCTGTAACTCTTGCTCTATGGGGTCGAGGACCTCAGAATATCGAAGATGGAGGGTATATGCATATTCTAAATCGGGATCGCAGGGCGGTTACCTTGTTGCTAGGAGATCGCAGGGCTTCAAATTGTAGACCCACCCTTCTGCATTTCCGCCCTTCTGCATTTCCACCCTTCCACTCCCTCCACTCCCTCCACCACCCCTCCACCCCTCCACCCGACTCCTCTTCCTCGCGGTGCATATTCCGTGACAACGGATGACACCGACGCACTCTATTATTTAACATTCTAGGAATCAGACTTCGATCTGCCATTGGTCCTAAGTTACGTCTACGTCATTTTTTAGCACTCGGTATTTTTGAGAAAAAAAAAAAAAGTTTCAGTTTGGTCTCAAATATTATTTTTTTGCGGTATCCCTGAGACGCGCTGGAGGAGAAAATCTAGGGTGGCTGCACGGGTCCACATGCGTCACGCAAGGTCTGGAATATGTATTCGAGCATCTTGAGATTTTTTATCATTATTTACCTTTTTTAGAAATAGCCCATACAAGACCGACACACGATGCACCTCCTTTCAGGACATAATATCCTGCTGACAGGATTCGTCTGGCATTGATCTGCTTTCAACTGGATACCTTTACGCGGAATATACACGTGTACGTATTATATGTATTTTTTGGTTTTCAGGTAAATTCTCGTTTTCCTATATATTAGTATATCTATCGAGAGTCCAGAGAGTGGATGCGAATGATAATGGGAAAAAAGGCTTTCTGGTGGATCCTAAACGAATTTCATTTCCTAATTAGAAACATAATCCGGGTTTTTCGGTGGTCAATGGAGAATCGAGCAGAACGTCGATTGACCTTTTTTTTGCTCCATGATTTTCTATCGTTCGACTCCTTTTACCTAAAACGCGGTGTCGATGACTCGACAGACTCCTAGCTTCGACAATAAAGGATTTCTTACACTTTCATCTTTTTTATTTATTTTTTTCCTTTTCACCTACTTCTCACCACACTGTATATGCAACATATACACCTCTCCGTGTTCCATTCTACACTGTTGGTACTTTACCTGGCAGCCTCTATCGACCTCGAGGCCATTTTTCTTCAACACCCTATACATATGTATCTATCCTATATACCATATACATTCACCATGCATTCCGATCCTCCCTTTGTACTTTTACAATTTTCTCCCAGGAATTGGTAGGCTGTATTACAGGTACGAAGGAATCTGATATTCATACTTATACATCACGGTCAATACCATTAAGAGTTTTATAAGAGAGAAGTATATATGTCTACATAATACAGTTTTATAGCAGTTAAAAAGTTAATTAATGTATTTTTCATAGTCTATTGCAAAAACAGCCATTGCCGTCTCCGGCTTTGTCCGTGCTCGTGGCTCCCCTTGAAAGAGCTGGAAAGTCTAACTCAATTGAAAGGGCAATATGTCTGCAAGGGTCTCCAGGCTTGCAAACTCAGCGGACGTACAGAAAATACAGAGATGGACAAACGAAGGTAGAAAGGAGTAATGGACGGCTATGTTTCCGTGAAATTGTATTGGCTTACAACGCAGTGTAGCTGCCAGCCGAATCGGCGCGGCTCGAAGCCGCCGTCTGCCCGATAAATAATTAAGTGATAATAATGGGCCTGTCGCTTGTCGGATAGCCACTTTGTAGACTTCTAAACAATTCGGCTTCGCGTCTAACCGTCGACAGACGTTACTACTGACCGCAACTTCCGAAATGTCTGGCAGCTTTTCGACTTTTTCCTCCTTGATGCACATTTCCACCGCCGCTATTTTATATTATGTATCTCTGGGCTTCCGGTTCGGGAATGATTAAGCGGAACTAGTCAGGACTTCCTGTCAAAACTTCAGACTCCGTGGGAAGCTGCCCGTTTTGTTATTGAATCCTCCAATTATTCAGGGACTTGGTATCCTATCTTTTTCTTGACGGACTGAAGAATAATGTTGGCTGCTCGAAGCTTTTTTTTTTTTTTTTTTTTTTTTTTTTTTTTTTTTTTTTTTTTTTTTTTTTTTTTTTTTTTTTTTTTTTTTTTTTTTTTTTTTTTTTTTTTTTTTTTTTTTTTTTTTTTTTTTTTTTTTTTTTTTTTTTTTTTTTTTTTTTTTCAAGGATTACTTTGCTTTATTTTGACTAGCTGCGCTCCAGAGACATTACCTTTCCTGCTTCTGCTAAATTTGTTACATTACTCGGATACCTTATTGAAGGTTATTGCGGAGAGCTGAATCTGTATTATATTAGGACAATTGTTTAAAGTGTTCTTAAGGTAAGGTTTTATTTTCAAGAATGTCTTTTCTTTGCTTTATTTTGACTAGCTGCGCTCCAGAGACATTACTTTTCCTGCTTCGTCTAAATATCTTATATTATTCGGATACCTTATTGAAGGTTATTGCGGATGACTGAATTTTTATTATATCGGACGGACAATTGTTTAAACTTTCCTTAAGGTAATATCAACAATGAGCTTTCGA